TAAATACAAGTATGCCTTGGATAGGTGTGCTCCTGGGCATTGCTTCTTTAACACAAAATATGGAACCAGACAAAAAATTACATGGAAAGAATGGGGACAAGTTCCTACATCACAAATAAGAAAAGCAAACCTATTAACCAACCCCAACAATATGAATGTGTGAAAGGAAACAGCAAGGCCAGGTAAACATTAGATAAGTAAAGAAAAATTACAGTTTGAATCGACGATGCCACTTGAAAGATTCCATTTAAAATATATGAAAAGGTTATTTTTTCACCAACTCCAACTTTTCTTATGATTTCTAATTTGGTTGCAGATGGAATTGGGAAATAATAGTCAGCCTTCCAGATTTGCTAGGCTTAGGGGCATAAGACTCTAGTGAAACTGGAAAAAAAGCACATAGAGAGAATACTATGGCTTTACTGGAGAGAATACCTTACTAGGAATCCCTAAGGACTCCATATAATTCCACTGGAAGACCAACAAATGCTTAGAGAAGTAATCTCCCTAGGAATCTCTAGATCTTCCAGCATGAACTCTGGAGCAAGTGAGCTACAGAGCTGCTCTGGAAGACCTAGAGATTCCTACCAATAACATATTATTCATATCCATAAGTAATCAAATACACCAATGTGAAACTTGCAAATGCAGAGGGAAGACTATATCTATGCATTTTCCCAACATGCTAGTGGTAGCTGGTGAGTAGACTGATCTGTCTTCTACATTTCCTTCTGTTCTGCTGTTCACAAGGATTCAGGTAAAGGATTCCTTCAGTCACCTGCTTTTCATTTTGCGTTTTGTAGGCAGACACACCCAGCTACAACAGAAACAGCTACAGTACAATCCCACTCTTTCGCTACTCAGGCTTTATTGCATTTTTACTGTATGCACACTGATGCAAACTACAACTGAAAGTCGGAGTTTCTTTAGCCCTCCTTCACCATCTATTAATGCTGCTAAAATTCAGAGGACAATGGAGAAAGGGAGAACTGGAAGGCACAAAATAAATTTGTAAAAAGGAACTTATTTGACAGAGACCTTGAGGCATACATGTATTAAACGAATCTGACACTGAATGCCTAGGGCCCTTCCACACATCCCTATATCCCAGAATATCAAGGCAGAAAATCCCATATTATCTGAGTGTGGGCTCAGATAACCAAGTTCAAAGCAGATATTGTGGGATTTTCTACCTTGATATTTTGGACTTTATTTTGGACTTTAGAAGAGCTGATTTACGAAAAATGAAGGAAATGCTGAGCACCAAAGATACTAAAAGATACTAAAAGACAAGGGAGTTATGGATGGATGGGAATTTCTCAAGAGTGAAATACTCAAGGCGCAATTGCAAACCGTGCCAACAAAGAGAAAAAATAGGACAAGTGCAAAGAAGCCAGAATGGATGTCCAAAGAACTTCTAACTGTGCTAAGACACAAAAGAGACATGTACAAGAAGTGGAAAAAGAGAGAAATCACCAAAGAAGAATTCAAACAAATAGCCAACACCTGTAGGGAAAAGGTCCGCAAGGCTAAAGCACAAAACGAGCTCAGGCTTGCCAGGGACATTAAAAACAATAAAAAGGGCTTTTTTCTTATGTCAGTAGAAAAAGGAAAAACAAGGAGGCGATAGGGCCTCTTCGAGGAGAAGATGGGGCAATGCTGACAGGGGATAGGGAAAAGGCAGAACTACTAATACCTTCTTTGCCTCGGTCTTCTCACAAAAAGAAAGTCATCTTCAACCTCAGCAAGATGGAGTGGATGAGGGATTAGAGGACATCCAACCCCAAATTGGGAAACAAGTCGTCCAGGAATACCTGGCCGCTCTAAATGAGTTCAAATCCCCAGGGTCAGATCAACTACACCCAAGAGTATTGAAGGAACTAGCGGAAGTCATTTCCAAACCATTGGCAATCATCTTTGAGAGTTCTTGGAGAACGGGAGAAGTTCCAGCAGATTGGAGGAGGGCCAATGTGGTCCCAATCTTCAAGAAGGGAAAAAAGGATGACCCAAACAATTACCGTCCGGTCAGCCTCACGTCGATACCAGGAAAGATTCTGGAAAAGATTGTTAAGGAAGTGGTCTGCAAACACTTAGAAACAAATGCGGTCATCGCTAATAGTCAACATGGATTTATCAAAAACAAGTCATGCCAGACTAATCTGATCTCTTTTTTTGATAGAGTTACAAGCTGGATAGATGCAGGGAATGCTGTGGATGTAGCATACCTGGATTTCAGTAAGGACTTCGACAAGGTCCCCCATGACCTTATGGCAAACAAACGAGTCCAATGTGGCTAGGCAAAACTACGGTGAGGTGGATCTGTAATTGGTTAAATGGACGAACCCAGAGGGTGCTCACCAATGCTTCCTCTTCATCCTGGAAAGAAGTGATGAGCGGAGTGTCGCAGGGTTCCGTCCTTTATTTATTTATTTACTTTGCTTATATACCGCTGTTCTCAGCCCGGGGGCGACTCACAGCGGTGTACAACATAGAAGAACAAGGTTCAAAATTCAAGGTAAAAAAGGTAAAGGTAGTCCCCTGACATTAAGGCCAGTCATGTCTGACTCTGGGGTGTGGTGCTCATCTCCATTTCTAAGCCGAAGAGCCAGCGTTGTCCGTAGACACCTCCAAGGTCATGTGGCCGGCATGACTGCATGGAGCGCCGTTACCTTCCCGCCGGAGCGGTACCTATTGATCTACTCACATTTGCATGTTTTCGAACTGCTAGGTTGGCAGAAGCTAGGGCTGACAGAGGAAGCTCACGCCGCTCCCCGGAATCGAACCTGCGACCTTTCGATCAACAAGCTCAGCAGCTCAGTGCTTTAACCCACTGCGCCACCGGGGACACCATCTAAAATAATCAGTGCAGCATTAACCAAAAACATCATCATCCAAAAACATCATCAATACAAAAGCCATTCCACGTCGTCTCATCGTCTAAACCACAATCCAGTATCATTTTCCGTTGTTCCATTCCTGTCGTCATTACCAATTATTGCACTTCTTGTTCGAACGCCTTCTTGAACAGCCAGGTCTTTAGTTTCCTGTGGAATATCATCAGGGAAGGAGCCAGTCTGATGTCCACGGGAAGGGTGTTCCACAGCCGAGGAGCCACCACCGAGAAGGCCCTGTCTCTCGTCCCCGCCAGGCGTGCCTGTGAGGCAGGCGGGATCGAGAGCAGGGCCTCCCCGGACGATCTCAAAGTTCTTGTGGGCTCGTAGGCCGAGATGCGGTCAGATAGGTATCTTGGGCCGGAACCGTTTAGGGCTTTATAGGCCAACGCCAGCACTGAATTGAGCCCGGTAGCAAATCGGCAGCCAGTGGAGCTGGTACAGCAGGGGGGTTGTATGCTCCCTGCGCCCCGCTCCTGTTAGTATCATGGCTGCCGCACGTTGGACCAGTTGGAGCTTCCGGGCCGTCTTCAAGGGCAACCCCACATAGAGAGCATTGCAGTAGTCTAAACGGGATGTAACCAGAGCGTGGACTACCGTGGCCAAGTCAGACTTCCCAAGGTACGGGCGCAGCTGGCGCACAAGCTTTAACTGTGCAAATGCTCCCCTGGTCACCGCTGAGACCTGGGGTTCCAGGCTCAGCGATGAGTCCAGGATCACACCCAAGCTGCGAACCTGCGTCTTCAGGGGAGTGCGACCCCATCCAGCACGGGCTGTAACCCTATACCCTGTTCGGCCTTGAGACTGACCAGGAGTACTTCTGTCTTGTCTGGATTCAATTTCAATTTGTTCGTCCTGGGCCCAGTCCTGTTCAACATCTTTATTAATCACTTAGATGAAGGGCTAGAAGGCAGGATCATCAAGTTTGCAGATGACACCAAATTGGGTGGGATAGCCAGGAGCAGGATTCAAAATGATCTTGACAGATTAGACAGATACAGAATGGGGGACGCCTGGCTCGAGAGCAGTAAGTGTGAAAAAGATCTTGGAGTCCTCGTGGACAACAAGTTAAATATGAGCCAACAATGTGATGTGGCGGCAAAAAAAAAGCCAATGGGATTTTGGCCTGCATCAATAGGAGCATAGTGTCTAGATCTAGGGAAGTAATGCTACCCCTCTATTCCGCTTTGGTTAGACCACACCTGGAATATTGTGTCCAATTCTGGGCACCACAATGCAAGAGAGATATTGGCAAGCTGGAATGTGTCCAGAGGAGGGCGACTAAAATGATCAAGGGTCTGGAGAACAAGCCCTATGAGGAGCAGCTTAAGGAGCTGGGCATGTTTAGCCCAGAAGGCTGAGAGGAGATATGATAGCCAGCCATGTATAAATATGTGAGAGGAAGCCACAGGGAGAAGGGAGCAAGCTTGTTTTCTGCTTCCTTGGAGACTAGGATGCGGAACAATGGCTTTAAACTACAAGAGAGGAGATTCCATCTGAACATTAGGAAGAACTTCCTGACTGTGAGAGCCATTCAGCAGTGGAACTCTCTGCCCTGGAGCGTGGTGGAGACTCCTTCTTTGGAAGTTTTTAAACAGAGGCTGGATGGCCATCTGTCAGGGGTGATTTGAATGCAATATTCTTGCTTCTTGGTAAGGGGGTTGGACTGGATGGCCCATGAGGTCTCTTCCAACTCTTTGATTCTATGATTCTATGATATTTTGGAATATAGGGCTGTGTGGAAGGACCCTTAGCTTCTGAAAGTAGATGAAACTAAGTCTACTCAGTGGTATGTTTTGAACATGACAAACTGAGAGAACATACCGCTATTACAACAAAGGGAATGAGACAGAGGGATCTGTCTTCCCACCCATAGAAACCCATTTAAAATTCTGCAGTGGGTCATTAACATGGGTTAAAATCCCTTTAAAATTCATATGAGTTTTTGAGAAAGCCCGACTTCAAAAAAATCTACTTTTTCTCACATTCGACTGAAAGCTGGATCCATAATTCTCCTCTGCTTGTGCCAATGGTCATATTCACAATCTGTTACTAACCCATTTCCTAAAAGTCTGGAAAAAGCAGAGAAAGGAATCTGTATTATTTAGAGCCAGTACTGGTTATATTTTGATCGACCGAACATGATGTGAAGAAGGACAGACTATAGCACTTGTATATTCTTTTCACTTCACATCTCTCCTGCGCTCTCGTTCTTATGAGTCTCTGAGTCCCCTTCGGGGGGAGAAGGGCAGCATATAAATATTCGTAAATAAATAAATAAAGCTATCTCTCCAGTACACATCCTGGCCAAATGATCTCCCAACTGAGAAAACCATGTTAACATTCATTTTCAGTTATCTGAAACTGTGATCAGAACATTAATAACACTGAGGGGAAACATAATGACATATAATTGAGTTGGATAATGTCTGTATAAGTATCGAATATTCTGTTTTGAGACCAAGGTTCTCAACAACAGTGTTGTTGCAACTCCAGGCCTTTCTGGATAAAATAGATCATCTCTAAACTCATTCTGATCTGGTTTTAAACTTGGTCTGGAGACGGACATGGATTTACATCAGATTATAGGGGGAAAAACTCCTGCTCAAGGTCTTGAATTTTATTGTGTTGTTTAATGTCAAGATGAAACTAGGGGAGATCACCCAGAACTTTGGAGACATCATTGATACATAGTTTTCACCAATTCATATACAATTTTCATTGGTCCATTCCTGAATTCTCAATTATTTCTAACACAAAACTTTATATGTAGCACTGTATAAATCATCTACATAGTCGCCTTGAGAATTACAACTGAGTAATAATATTGGTCCACTCTCTTAACAAAACATCACGTGCAATGGAACTTTATATTAACCTACCTTACACCAAACACAGTGTGAAGGTGTTCATATTAAAATCGGTCTTTTGGGTATTGTGGCAACATCAAGTACTCCTAAAATTAAATTTTCTAGTCAGTCCATTTCAAGTAGAATTGATACAGAAAAAAATCTCTATCACCTATGCCAATTTTTTTTTTCTTACAAGAAATAAATAATCAAATGGTCACTTCAGAGGTGTTTCATTTTTTTTAAAAAAAACAACTACATAAAATGAGTGCCTCTACTTTTATATAATCACGTAGCAGAAGTTAGTCTAAGTATGCACAGCATATGCAATAATAATAATAATAATAATAATAATAATAATAATAATAATTTATTTGTATTCCACCCTGTCTCCTGAGGGGACTCGGGACAGATTCCAGCATACACAAACACAAAGGTAAACATTCAAGGACTAGAAACAATGAAACACAGATAAAGGTAAAGGCTTCCCCTTTGGACTCTGAGTGTGGTGCTTATCTCCCTTTCTAAGCCAAAGAGTCTGCTTTGTCCATAGATGCCTCCAAGGTCATCTGCCTGGCATGACTGCATGGAGTGCTGTTTACCTTCCCGCTGAGGTGGTACCTACTGATCTACTCTCATTTGCATGTTTTTGAACTGCTAGGTTGGCAGAAGCTGGAACTAACAGAGGGAGCTCACACCACCCCAAGGATCTGAACCGCCAACCCTGCGGTCAGCAAGTTCAGCAGCTCAGCAGTTTAACACGTTACACCACCGCAGCCCCTTGAATATAGAATTGTTCTGTAGAATGTTACTATTTTGCCAAAAGCATTATACATATTAGTTTCATTTTGTAGACTGTTTTGATTTGATCTTCCTGCCAAAAACATGATTATGAAGTTTTGAAAATGGAATATATTTTCTGTCTTATTTCACATAGAATAGAAAAGTCTGACTTGGCCACTGTGGTCCACGCTCTGGTTATATCCCGAATAGACTACTGCAATGCTCTCTAAGTGGGGCTGCTTTTGAAAACTTCTCGGAAGCTCCAATTAGTCCAGCGGTCAGCAGCCAGGTTGTTAACTGGAGCTGAGTACAGGGAGCGTACCACTCCTCTGTTGCGCCAGCTCCACTGGCTGCCGATTAGCTTCCAGGCACAATTCAAAGTACTGATTTTAACCTTTGAAGTCCTGAACGGTTCTGGCCCAGATTGCCTGTCCGAACGTATCTCCTGCTATGAACCATCACGGAGCTTGAGATCATCAGGAGAGGCCTTGCTCTCAATCCCACCACTCTCACAAACGCGGTTGGTGGGGACAAGAGACAGAGCCTTCTCAGTAGTGGCCCCCATTGAAGTCTGTGGAACTCTCTCCCTCTCTCCTCCATTGAAGTCTGTGGAACTCTCTCCCTAAGGATACTAGGTTGGTCACCTCCCTCCTGTCCTTTAGAAGACAACTGAAGACCTGGCTCTGGGGCCAGGCATTCGATTAGAGGCCAGAGGCAATAGGAAATTTGGATTTTGCTATATGGATTCTCCCGGCTCGGTTTACTATTAATTTATTGTTAAATTTTACTGATGATGTTATATAATGTTTTAAAATGATTTTATTGTGAATTGTAATTTTTATGGTATTTATGCTGTTAGCATCCTCTGATGCTCATGTGAGGCCACGCTGAGTCCCCCTTGTGGGGAGAAGGGTGGGATATAAATATATGAAATAAATAAATAAATAAATAAATAAATAAATAAAGAGTATTATTATTTCAGAGAACAAAACAGAACATAAACAGCTTTGTTTGGATGGCGTGTTTTTAATTTCTAATCTGTTTTAACTCTATTTAATATGTTGCAATTTTTAAATTTTAGGTAATTGCGGTTGAGGCACGATGTATGTGCTACTATAAGATGCCTTGGGTCTCCCTGCATGCGATAGAGAAGGGGCAGGGTATAAGTATGGCAAATAAATAAATATGGCTTGAGTATGTTTGTTATATTTGTCTTCATCATTACAAAAGTAATATTTCATAACATACTTTGATGCCCTCAGGACTTAGGATGAACAAGGAGACTCTGTGAAAGGCATTGAAACGGAATACTGGTCCATATTCTTCAGCCATGTAAAGACAAAATATAAATAGATGTTACAAACGGCACGAATAATTATTTTGAGAAGTTTGTTCTCATAGCCGTTTTTGTCGAGACACAGATGCCTTAAATGGCCACACACAGGGTTAGTTCCAAAGTAAAGTTTATTGCAACAAAGAACAGGAGCTCAGAGACACTTAAAACTCAGTGCCTCAGGCCAAAACTCAAAAGTTAACCAAACTTGATTGAAAAAGAGCAAAAGGAAATATAATCTGGATTAACCAGAGAAAAGATCCGGATTAAAACACAGTACTAGAAGTAAACAAACAGCGCTGCGCTCAAACAGTTAACAGCAAATGGAAACCACAGGAAGAGAAACCGAAGTCAAACAAAGTCCAGAAGTCGTCGTAGGAGTGATCCGAAGTCTGTCAGCAGCGTTGTTCCAAAGTCCGTTAAGCAGCATTGTCATCAAGTCAGTCCGAGAATCAGGAAAGGAAAAATCCACACCTATGGTTGAAAAAAAAAAAAAAAAAAAAAAAACCCACAAAAACAAAAAAAAACAAAAACAAAAACATCAATTTGAGATAGAAAAAAATCACACCAGGCATGGAGCCAGGGAGGGGGGGGGATTTGAGGGGCTTCAGCCCCCCCCCCCCGAAATTTCATGGTGGTTCGCGAAAAGGCCTTACTGGTGCATTATTTAAACTGTTATGTTTATTCATATCATGATCTGATCACCATACTCAATATATCCCATATGCATGGGGGTATTGGGGTAATGATACAAAAGGTTTGCTAGGGCTGACCCTCTTTCACTCAGACTCAGCCCCCCCCCCAAAACTCAGCCCCCCCCCCCCCCCCCCCCCCCCGGGAAACGAAATCCTGGCTACGGGCCTGATTCACACTCACGATAAGTCAATCCAAGTCAAAAGCACACAGGAACAGGAACTCCAGGCTGCAGAACCCGGACCCAAAGCCCAACACGAAAACAGGCAGCGACAAAACCACACGATACATGAACGTAGCAACACTTTGCTTTCTGCAAAGATTCCCCCATTTCTGACCCTTCTTTTATTACACATCATCCTCATCCGAAGATGAGCTCACCAATGCCCCATCGTTATCCTTTGCAGCTGTTCCCAAATTCATGCGTGAACTCCTGCTGCCATCCCTCCAGCTTCTCCATCTCCTGTCAAGACTTAGGTCTCCCCAAGACTCAGCTGTATTCCCCGACTGCCAGTCTTCACTTCCTGAGAAGCCCATAAAAGTATCACTAGATGTTGGTCCTGCACAAACAGCTTACGCCTCCTTAACCTTAGTCCAATCCAATGTGTCATCCCCATTCCCATCACTTCGTGACCCATCTTCCCCAGAGAAACCCACAAACATTTCATCATCTGTAGGAGCTGTTAGTATATCCCTGACCCTTTTCCTTTGTTGCTCATCATCAGATTCCTGCTCCCGAGAAACCCGTTTTCCCCTTCTAGTGCCCGGATTGCTGCTTGCATCATTACTAACAGGCTCTACTACAACGGTTTTCATGGCTGATGGTTACAAATAACCAAAAGCCACTGAGAAAAACCATTTCAGATCAGCTCTAGAAGACATATACAGTATTACATTGTTGTTCAATGATATACATCCGGCTGCTAAGAATAACCAAAGCAAATTTCTGAATCTGCAAACAATACATTTGGTTACACCCAAATATCTAATTCCTCAAAAACAACCACATTTTGAAATTTCTTACATATTTAATTTAACTCTACCGGGGAAAAAATCAATACTGATTATAGAATCATAGAGTTCGAAGAAATTTCATGGGCCATCCAATCCAACCCCCTGCCAAGAAGCAGGAAAATTGCATTCAAAGCACGCCTGACAGATAGCCATCCAGCCCCTGCTTAAAAACCTCCAAAGAAGCCTCCACCACACTATGGGGCAGAGAGTTCCACTGCTGAACAGCTCTCACGGTTAGAAAGCTCCTCCTAATAATGTTCAGGTGGAATCTCCTTTCCTGTAGTTTGAATCTTTATGAATAAAAAGTTTAAGGTTAATTTTTCATTTTTTAAAAAAAACAGATCTTATCTAGACATTTAAATCCTAAAGATGAAGAAACTTTAAAAGCACCAGAATTGCAGTTCGTGGTCTCTTATGTCGAGCTATCCAAATAATTTCCATAAAACTTACCATTGCAGAAAGAGATCATGCACAAGTTCCTTGTTCTTCAGCATTTTCCACAAGATTGGAAGATGACCAAAGAAAAAGCTGTTTTAAAAAAGGGGGAGATGATTAAGCTGTGGATAATACACTGCCTTTCAAAAAAGTTAGATTGCAAGATTATTTATGTAATATTTTCTATCCTGCCTTTCTTTACCCTGAGCGGGGCTCAAGGTAGTTTACAGATAGGCAATAATTCAATGCCTTAACAACAATATACAATTAAAACAAACATTTAAATTGAAATTAAAATCAAAATTAAAAGACCTTAAACTTTTTGAAAACATTACAATCACTATAAAACCATGCTATTTGCAATCATAACCCAGGTCATTCCAGTAGTCATTGCACGTAATTCCAGTTAATCTATTGATCTATGGTTGTTCTCTGAAGGCTTGATCCCAGAGCCACATTTTCACTCTCTTTCTGAAGGTCACGAGGGAGGGGGCTGGTCTAACATTGCTGGGGAGGGAGTTCCACAGCCAAGAAGCCACCACTGAGAAGGCCCTGTCTCTCGTTCCCATTGGGACTGAGAGCAGGGAGATAAAGAGAGTCAGAGAGGAGAAATTAGTATGGATAATGGGCCCTCCGGATCCATGAGATATGAATTCATGATTTCCAATTACTGAGGATTGTTAGTAAATGGCAGCAACATATATACAGGCACACTAAAACGTGCACATTTATGTCACGGCAATTTGATAACATGGGCTGTAAACTCCATTTTTTAAAAGTATCTCTGGAAAGTCCTGAAAGTCACTTTGGGTCTCAGGGCCCTTCCACATTGCCCCTTTATCTTTGATTATCTCAGGTTATTTGCCAGTGGTGACTCGTATATTCCAGTTGAAGACAGATAATCTGGGATCAGATCCTGGGATAAAGGGCAGTGTGGAAGGGCCCTCAATCAAGAGATATAAACGGGATATAAATGAATATCATCACCACCCAACCCCTGCGGATACAATGGGCCCACTGTAAATTAATGGATGAATTTCACAGTAAAGTAAATTATCAGCAAAAACAGAGTGCATGTCCCCTGTGAAGATCCCTTACCTTGCCAGCCTGGGTGGCAGGGCCTAGGAGAGGCAGGCTAGTTAGTTTCAGCCTTAGAAGGCCTGGCAGAGGGCAGCAGGAGCCATTTTAGTTTAGGGAAAGCTCCATTTCAGAGAGGGGGAGTGGCCTAGGCCTGAGCCAGCCTTAGAGCAGCCAGGATTGGTTTATTAAAGGGGGGCGGAGTTAGACTGTTTGGAGGGAAAGAAAGAAGCTGTTTCAGTCAGTCTGTGGATGTTAGAGTTTAGAGCAGGGTTACAGAAGCTTTTAGGAGTTCGTGTTAAGAATAGGCAGTTTGCCTGAAGTTTGCCAGCGAATTAAGCTGTGGCAAACTGGGTACAGCTATTTAGAGAAGAAATAGCTGGGTTTTATATTTGTAACCAAGAAAGAACCATTCTCATGCAACCGTTACGCTTTCAAGAACCAGAACATTTTTAACTGTAACAGCCAAGCTTATTAAACTGCATTCACTTCATTCTGTACTATATTAAATAAACTTTTCTTGTTTATTTTAAAACTTAAAAGCCTGAGTCCAGTGTACATTTGTGGATTTAGTCCCTTTTCCTTTTCAACCTCACCTGTTTTCCTTCAAAGAAGCCCTTTAAAACACACAGTACTTGGTGGTCTAAAAAGCCTTTTACCAGTTTAACCAGCTAGAGTGCTCCTGTACTTATACTTATGGTGGCAGCGAAAGTTAAATAGAGAGACATCTCCTCAAACGTTCTATTGGTGCCAAAGTGGTGTGAAATCTTTATTTTAGAGGGACAGTTGGTGGGATCTGTTTGCCCCCTGTCCAGTTATATTGTTTGGCCACACGACGTGCCTTTATAATTGGTGTCAGATGGTGGGATTGATCGTATTGCCATCTGCATTGCCTTTATAATTGGTGGCAGCGGTGGGATTGATCGTATTGCCATCTGCATTGCCTTTATATCCCCCTCCCAGGGAGAAGTTATATAGACTCAGACCTTTCACGATAATATTTTTTTTCATGTGTGAGAGAATTGGTGGTCTGCAAGGACATTGCCCAGGGGACACTGGATGGGCAACAACCTTGCAGACAGCCAATTCTCTCACACCAGAAGCGACTTGCAGTTTCTCAAGTAACTCCTGACATGGAAAAAAATGAAGAGGATGGATTTTAATTGGTATTGTACCTGTGTATATTTGTTATATGTATTTCAATAATATTTTATTGTGACTCAACGTAGGGTCTAACTTTTTAAAAACACTGGGGTGTTTTTAAAAAGTTAGACCCTACGTTGAGTCCCAGGGAGAGGCACGTAAACATTAAATTATTACTACTAATAAGGAAAGCGACCAGTTATTTTCCGATATAGAATTATTGAGTTGGAAGAGACCTTATGGGCCATCCAGTCCAACCCCATTCTGACCAGAAGCAGGAAAGTCGCATTCAAAGCACCCCCGACAGATGGCCATCCAACCTCTGCTTGAAAGCCTCCACAGAAGGAGTCTCCACCACACTCTGGGGCAGAGAGTTCCACTGTTGAACAGCTCTCACAGTCAGGAAGTTCTTCCTAATGTTCAGGTGGCATATTTTGGCTGAGCAAGAAAGATGCTGCTGGTGCAGATGCAAAGAAGGCAACCAGTGGTGCTTCTGCTGCCACTCTCTCTCTCTCTCTCACCTGGCTCGGGGGGCGCTGGGGATGTGGTCGTACTTGACATGAACCCATTGGATGTAGCCGCAATACAGCCCGAAAGCCAGGAGTCCCAGAGCCAGGAAAACGCGCAGCAGAACCCAGATCAAAGCCAGAGCTTCCATCACAGCCGACAATGAGCTGTGAAGCCGCCGCCTCTTTGGAGCCTGGAATGCCCTCCCGAAGGGTCAGTAGACCGGGGAGGAGCCTGGCCTTGTTACAGGGACCCTGCAGTCCAAGCCAAGAAGGACCTCCCACCTTCCTTCCTTCCTTCCTTCCTTCCTTCCTTCCTTCCTTCCTTCCTTCCTTCCTTCCAAACCGGTATTGCAGAAAGTGGTTTCGATGGGGAAATCCCGGAACTAGCTGAAAGGACCGGATGGTGATTAGTGATTACTTAAACCACAGAAGTACTTTTTTCTCTCTCTCGTCAGGAGTGACTTGAGAAACTGCAAGTCGCTTCTGGTGTGAGAGAGTCGGCCGTCTGCAAGAACGTTGCCCATCATCCAAATAGGATGATGATGATGATGATGATGATGATGGAACTTCCGAATTCAGACTGCCAGGGTTTTGAAGCACCATACTCCTGACCTCACGATCATGTTAAAAAACCAAGTATGGATGGTCAGTGTTGCAATCCCAGGTGACAGCAGGATTGAAGACAAACAACTGGAAAAGCTGACACAATATGAGGATTTAAAGACCAAACTGCAAAGACTCTGGCACAGGCCAGTCAAGGGGGTCCCAGTGGTGATTGGCACACTGGGTACAGTGCCTAAAGACCTTGGCCTGTACTCAGGCATGCTTGAGGGGCTTCACCCCCCCCTCCAATTCTCATGATGGTCCGCGAGAAAGTCCTTACTGGTGCATTATTTAAACTGTTATGTTTATTCATATCATGATCTGATCACCATACTCAATATATCCCATATGCATGGGGGTATTGGGATAACAATACAAAAGGTTTGCTAGGGTAGACCCTCTTTCACTCAGACTCAGCCCCCCCCCCCCCCCAATCAAACTCAGAAATGTCATTTTTCTGTGCCCTAATCCCTAAGAGAATTAACCTTCTCTTGGTGCAGTTGCTGCCTGGCAAAACAAGTTTGGGAGAGAATTTGGAATCATGTCAGTGGTGACTATGACTATATCGACATGGGTAAAATAAAGTGGGCTCATTTTTCAGCAGCTGCGAGGAATCCACATGGCAGGACTCACAAGGAAATCCAGCACAAGGAAAAATGGCATTCTAATGTTCTGGAAGTGTGGCGACCTGGATTGGGTTGGATCTTGGCCCTTGCTGGTGACATTGCTTCTGGTGAGGCACCAATCTGAGTCCAGGAGAAGCAATGTCACCAGCAAATCTTCTGCGAGAGAGCTGCTTTTGAACAGTGCCTTCAATGCACCCTTGCTTAGATGCCAAAAGGGCTCATGGGCTGCACTGAGGCAGCTCCAGACAATTTACCCCAGAATATGTAGGTATATATAGATCCAGACTTTGTCATTCTGTAGTACTGAGTATGCAGGGTTAATGAATATGGAGACTGTAGGTTATGTTTCCGTAACTGCAGAACTGAATGCCTGCCAGGTTCATTTCTTGTTGCATTTAGGTTTGGCCATAACTATAGCATCTCATTTTTTTTATTAGTCCACTGCTGTTTAGAAGGTTGCTTTGGGAACTTCTGATCAAATACTATATTAAACTCAAATGTGTTTTTAATTTTAGTACTTCACTGATTTTTCTGACTTCTTCTAAGACATGTGTTTTTGGACTGCCGGTCTTTGAATTTTCCTACCATTTTTAAAATTTAGAAATAACACTTTTTCCACCCTAATGGATGCCAGATAGGAAGTAATGCGAGCCATTCGAGGACATTGCAACCTGCTGTAGTGGAAAAAGAAACTGCACTTCTATGCTAGCAAGAACAGTGGAGACCCCACATCAAGTAAACTGAGACAATACTCACACTCTGCATCTCACAGTGGGGTCCCTGCCAACCCTACTTAGTGAGGTCGAGGACAGTTCAGACAAACTAGTAGTTGGTCTCAGTTCAGAGGGGAAACTAAGTGAAAGTGCGCAAATTGAGTATACTCTGTTTTTCTTGCTCCTCGGAGCCCAAAGCAGCCCCTTCACCATATGAATTGTGTTCCCATTGGTCAACAGCAACAGCTCAACTTGGGGCTTGATAGCTGCCAGAGAAAGATGTGGGGTGGAGTGCAAAGGACCCACATACAAGAGACATAAGCAGATGTAAGAAACACATATCCTTATGTTACTAACAGGATGCTGCCCGTCCCTAAAACTTACATGGCTGTCTGTTGGACATTTCCACTTGGAAGAAGTGAGGAAATATTTTGAATGGGAAACTTAGGATGCAATTACACTGTGGCATTACTGCAACATGACACCATTGACTACTATGGAAATAATTGAAGTTGTAGTTTTACAGGTTCTTTAATCTTTTCAGCTAAAAAGGTGCTGATCCCTTACCAACCTAGAACTCCCAAAATTCCACAGCATTGAACCCATGGTAGATACAGTACTGCATTAATTTTACATTGCAGATGCAGACTTAGACACGGGCTGCATCTCCCTAATTCGAAATGCTTGCAGCAGTGTTTTGGAGTTTTAATTTTTTTTAGATATTTGCATTATAAATAATGAGCTATCACGGAGATGATACCGAAGCCTAAAACTCCCATTCAATTTTATTTCATATCAGAAGGGTAATTCTATACACAGTATTTTATATAGTTCTGGCTTGAAGTAAATGTGCATACATTGAACCATCAGAGGGCAAAGGTGTCACTATTTCAGCCTCTGCCTCTCCACTTCCTCGGTTCATATTCTGTCGTTCTAATCTAACCATGTAGCTGGCCAGCATTGTTATATCAGTTTAATGCCACTTTATTGGCCATGGCTCGATTCTAAGGATTTCTAGGATTTGTGGGGATCAGAGAATTCTCTGCTAAAAGATCTAGACCCTTCCTTTGAACTCCAAATCCCAGTGCATCTGGATAACAATCTCACTAGACTCTGCTAACTCTGGAAACTGAAATGTTATAAAAATGGCATAGACATGTACAGCAGGTACATCATTAAAGGACAATATTGTAACACAAACTAGTAAAATCTCAGTAAAGAAAATCTAGGACACCCAGACTTCCTGAATGCATCACATAATTAAACCGATGTAATTCCTTGATTCCTCTCTTGTTGTGGCATCTTGGTATCAGATAACAATCTTACCAGACTTCCTTATGAAGCTCACTCTGGAAATGGAAACAGTATGAATGATATATGTGTGTAGAGTAGGTATATCGAGGATCTTTTTCATGTCAGGAGCGACTTAAGAAACTATAAGTCAGTTCTGGTGTGAGAGAATTAGCCATCTGCAAGGAAGTTCCCAAGAGGATGTCCGGATGTTTAATGCTTTACCATCCTTGTGGGAGGCTTCTCACATGACCCCGCACGGGGAGCTGGAGCTGACAGAGGAAGCTCAATCTGCTCTCCCCGGATTCAAACCGCTGACCTATCAATCAGCAGTCCAGCCGGCACAAGGGTTTAACCCATTGCACCACCGAGGGCTCTTAGAGGATAAGCCAATCTAATCTATGCACAAAAATGTTGCCCAAAAGGCAGGGAGAGATAAACAAAGAGAAATTGCAGTCAAAATTAGATTAGCATGACTTTTCCCCTAGTAAATTTGCTTCCTCCTGAACACATACTTTCCAACCAATGGTTTTTACTGTCTTGTTGGTTACAAACACTATTAGCTAGAGGAAAGAACACGAGTGACTAAGAAAATAGGAAATCCAGACTCAAAATTGTCAAGGCTATTGCATTTTGACCTCATCATGCCAAAGAAGGAAATGTTATGACTGCTGTTTCTTCAGCAACAATTGAGATGCATAAACTGCTTTGGTGGTACAATTCCCTTCAGATCTACTGAGAACTACTAAAGGCCACAATATGTGGAAGCACACTGTCAGGCACCTAAAACATATTCAGATAGCCACTAGATGGCAATCCAATACAGCAACACTTAACAGCAGAGGAGAAAACTGTTGATTTATTCCTGCAAAGCAAGTAAGCTTCTTGTGGTACTTTAAAGATCAAAAGACTTCTATCAATATAAAAAACAGGACCTTTTGCTTTCAAATCATACCCACATCCATCTACAGCTTCTATTTACTTCTTGAACCATGGGCCACTCTACTATAAATACGAATTTCGGAAAGCAGAACGCCATTTACAACATCTGTAAATCCCATTGTAATATATTTCACTTTTTATTAATTTCAATCAGTAAAGCACAATCAATTATTTTCCATCACATTTCTGCTTCTTTCAAATTTTTCTTCTTTTAAATCCATTCACTTTTTCCAGATCCAGTCTGGAAATTTTCTCTAGAAAGCCAATGAATTTCACAATTTCTGATTTCTTTTTTATTCAACAATCACTATCAATTTCCTTTCAGTTTTTGCTTGCACAATCTCTGCTTTCCTGTCAGTCCAGTTTCACAACCATTGTTCTTCTTTCAAACAGCCCCTTTCCCCCTCTTTTGCACAATCACAATTCAAATCAGGTTACAGAGTCTTCTTAAACATCCCTAAATCTTCTCTAAATAATCATCATTGTTATTGTTGGGTTGCTGTGAGTTTTCCAGGCTGTATGGCCATGTTCCAAAAGCATTTGGTCCAGAATGTTTCTGGAACGTGGCCATGCAGCCTGGAAAACCCACAGCAACCCAGAGATTCCGTCCATGAAAGCCTTCGACAACACGCTGTTACTGTTATTGTTGTTATTGTTATTCTTTATATTACCCACTTTCTTCTCTGAATGGGACTGAATGTGGCTCGCAACCCCAACATGGTACAAATTACAATTAAATCTTCAAACACAGTTTGTTCAATTTTAGTTCATCTTAGTTTAACTTCTTTTTACACCAACGCCTTTTCAGTCTGCTTATAAAACCAGCAATAATTCATGTATACAATTTAATGTTCTGACACTGCAAGTGAACTGAGTCAGACACATTTAGCTGCTCACTCACAAGCAGAAAGAGATGGGATTGCAGAAATGTGGATGCTCTGCCATGGAGCTATTGATATTCTCATTCTCTTTTACGTTTTGCCTTACTCCTCTCCTTCCAAAGCCAGGCAAAAATGTTCTCATTCAGGTCTCAACTTAGTATTAATAATAGTGCTTTACAAAGTTTTAACTACAGTAGAATCTCACTTATCCAACCTTTTCTCATCCAACATTCTTTACTATCCACCCAAGTCTGCCTCCTGCCCAGATCCACAGGTTTTTCCAATACATTGCGATGTTTTGGTGCTAAATTCGTAAATACAGTAATTACTACATAACATTACCATGTATTGAACTGCTTTTTTCTGTAGATTTATTTTAAAACGTGTTTTGGCGCTTAATTTGTAAAATCATAATGCAATTTGACGTTTAATAGGTTTTTCCTTAATCCCTCCTTATTATTCAACATTTTCACTTACCCAACTTTCTGCCGGCCCATTTATGTTGGATATGCAAGACTCTACTGTATGACATTTTAAACAGAATAGTTATTTGTTTTTTTTAACTTTTCCACATTTTTTAAGCTGTACCGTTTAAATTTGGGTGTAAAAAGCCTTGGATCATGTATAAGTAGAAAAGCAGGATATAAATGAATCAAAGATAATTTGGAGTCATAACCTTTGAAGACTGTTTGGAAACCTGCCAATGGGTAATCCATAACTAGGGGAAAGCCTTCAAAAATCCCCTCCCTTCTGCATCCCAAATTTAAGAATGTCCTCCTAATTCCCCCTCTACATTGACCATTTAATGTAATTTAAGACTAGCTTCAAATTGCAGTGATCAGACATCAAACTCTCATTGTTTTTTAAAAAAACATTTGAAATAAATCTTTAATGTGCATCAGTGCTCTGTGGTTTATGTCAGCTCCATCTGGGACTCCAACTGGTTCCAGGATTTCCTATGTAATCATCTGTAGGGTTGGGTTGCAGGACCATCCATTTCCATTATATAATAGCATAGTAAAATGGTACCTCTTATATAGCATTATAAAACCATTTTAAAAAAATATATATTTTCAACCCAAGGTTGGTTGAATATGTGGATATGAATGTCTGATTGTAGAGAGTACTTGGCAACCAATATTTCATTTAATCTTTACGAACGAGTTGATGGCGTGGCTTTAGTCTGCACTGGACACCGTCTAAAGGCTTCAGTGTTCCTGTATCTATAGCTCTAAAGCTCTGTGGTGGAACCAGCTGGAAGTCAAATCTCTGCAAAAACTTGGCCATCACCACTTTAGCTTCCATCTGTCATAAAAGGAAAAATAGAACAGTGAGCTGTTTGCATTCAGTTGTTTTTATTGCATTGTTTCTTCCTCCCAAGGAGCTCAGTTTTGCATAGAACACATGTGTCAAACTCAAGTTTCTGCCCACCATGTCATTGTATGTGGCCCTCCAGATGCTGGACCAAAACACCTGTATTCTTCATCATTAGTCATCATGACTAGAGCTGATGGGAGTTATGATACAGTAACATCTAGAAGGTTGCAGTTTGTTCTCTTTAGTCAGGATAATGGGGTTTGAATTTAGGTACAAGGCTTGTAGATACGATGTCTGACTTTGACAATACCTTTAACCTTTCCCCAACTTCTGAGCCATAGATGCTGCTGGGTTACAATTCCCATTATCACCAGTCCGCATGACAAATAATCAAATGTGATGGGACTTGTCATCCAATAATGCCTGGGGACTCAAATTGTATAAAATCTAAAGAGCCCTGACCAGTGTGTGTGTGTGTGTGTGTGTGTATCCATGTGGATTCAATGGCTCCTTGAAGGAAACCATAAGGCAGTTGTGGCCCTCAATAAAAGATTTTTTGCAACCCCGTCATAAAAGATTTTAATGCTTCATTTTAACCTATCAACAACTCTGTAACTTTGGTTAGGTTGAAAAAACTGGTCTGAATTAAGAAATATTCTTAGTGGAATGGGAATAAGAACCTCAGTCTCCATGTCCCTAGTTCCTTTCTCACCACTACACCACAACACAATAGTTCCTTTCTAACCACAACACATTAGTGTGTCAGCTGGAAGTGTGCTGATGAGTAGACCACCCAGTGGCCACGTTGCATCGGGATGGGAATATCATGCCCTACTCAGACAGTGAAGAGGAAGAGCTGGTGGAAATGCCAGTGGCTGAGTTTGAGTGATGCAGCTCCCAGCAGCCATTCAACTTGGAGCCTTTGGAAGCTCTAATGACTGAACCTGATGCTAGCAGTTCCCAGCCGTTTCAAGAAAAATTGCACAGACATGCCTACATTATTAGAACACTGTCAGGAAAAGGAGGGATTCAGAAGGTCTCATCACCTTTATAATAAATGCTTAGTATTCATAGAGCAGCCGAGAGGTTGAGGCTGGGCTATAAATCCAACAGCTGCATATCAGTCACTGTTGCGGAAGTGATCTGACCTGCAACACCCTGCTCTTCTCTCTGTGTATTTTGAGCCTTTTCCTATTTTCATTTCTCCCTTGCTATTATACCTTTAATTTCTGCTTCTAAATTTGTTTCTAAAATCGATTCGTTTTTTGGGGGTTTTTGCGTTTCGTTATTTAAAATAATTACAAAATTTTCCTTTAAAAAAGTTTGATATTTACGAAATTTCGTTAATATTAACGAATCAATTCGTTAAAATGGCGGACGGTTGCGCAACGTGAAAATAATAGTTTTAAATAATAGTTTTAACCTGGAGAAGGAAAGAGGGGGGAAAGAGAGAGAGAGGAGGGGTGAGATCTCTATTCTGGTTTGACAATGCTTCTCAATAATAATAATAATAATAATAACAAACCACTTTCTGCCTTCGTGCATGTAAGGCACAGTGAAAGCACTACTGAAAGATGGCCATCCATTCTTAATAATAATAATAATATAATAAATATAATAGTTTTAACCTGGAGAAGGAAAGAGGGGGGAAAGAGAGAGAGAGGAGGGGTGAGATCTCTATTCTGGTTTGACAATGCTTCTCAATAATAATAATAATAATAATAATAATAATAATAATAACAAACCACTTTCTGCCTTCGTGCATGTAAGGCACAGTGAAAGCACTACTGAAAGATGGCCATCCATTCTTAATAATAATAATAATAAATATAATAAATATAATAAATATAATAGTTTTAACCTGGAGAAGGAAAGAGGTTAGGCAGGCAACAGGTCTCTGAGTGCTGCACTGCTGTGTCTCTTTGCCCAATGCACGCAGGCCAGAGTGAGGAACGAGGTGAGGTGACGACAGGAGGAGAGGAGAATTTGATCCACTTAAGCAGAGGCCAGGGACCCGGAAGTGGGGTAAATGCCGACCGCTTGCAACCAGGGAGAGGGGAGGGAAACAACTATAAAACTTGCACCAGACATACGGAAATAATAACGAAACAATTACAAAACAATTACGAAATAGCTTTAAAAATTTGTTTCGTTTTTTAGTTGCTCCTGAATGGTTTGTTATCGCTTCGTTATCAAGAAAAATAACGAATTATTAACGAATTACGAAATTAACGAACGAAACCGCCCAGCCCTACTATCTATCTATCTATCTATCTATATGAAAGGTTTTCATGAGCTATGCTGTGTCCCCATACATTTTGTTATCATGAGATATGCTGTGACCCCATATATTTCATTTGGCTTAAAACCACAGTAAATTCAAAGTTTCCTGAATAGTTACTCAATTCCCAGACCATATGCAGAAAATCCTGAATGCCTGGAGAGACAATGTATTTTTGAGATGTCAAATCACCAAATGAGATTAGGGGTTGTTTTTTTAAAGGTTGAGCCCTGAAAATGATGAAAAGTGATTTAAGGACAATAAAGACATTTGAATTAACAGTAATATGGACCGAGTTAAAGAAATCCAAACAAAACGTGCATTAGAGAAAAAAACAGGAGACTGAAGAATAATGCTAAATAGCAAGAGGTTTGAGGCAAAGTGCTATAACCTGTGAATTATATGGCTTATAAGGCTAAATAACAGGGTGCTACAACCTGTACATTACATTAAGGAATTTGTTCTGGATTATAAAAAGGAAAAAAAAGCATAAAAGCACAATTGCAATGGCAAACAGGAGCTGCAAGTGCTGTTGGTGCCATGAACTTTTAAAACAGTGGTTCTCAACCACTGCTGTTAAGATTTCTGGGAGTTGTCAGTCAAATCATCTGGGGACCCACGAGTTGAGAACTAGTGATTTAAAGGGATGGATGCCTGCTCTCAAAAAAATCTGGCAATCTTAACAACAACCTTCTTACTCACCTGTGAAAATATCTGCCCAATACAGGAACGAGGTCCAAGAGCAAATGGGAAATAGGAAAAGTATGGCCTAAAAAGTATAAAGAAAGAAGAGATCACTTCAATAGCATACACCTCCCCCCAGCTACAACTCTAGTAGTAACTTATTTTCCTGATATTGCAAAGCAACAACACTCTTCTGCATCTTGACAGAGAAATTACACTTTGTTAATTTCCGTTGATGAACAAGGCAAATGGGCAGATCAGACCAACTTCTCTCTGGTCATTCAACAACTTTAGTAGACAGTGGGCAGCCATTAAAATGATGATCAAGCTGAAAATGTAATGGCTTTTGGTTTTACTTGGTGCAAACTCCTGAAGGAGGCAGAAGGAGGCTTACTTTAGTTGATCTTTGTTAAATCTGTCAGGATTGTAGGTAAGTGCATCCTTGAAATACTTTTCCAGTCGTCCCATGATGTATGTGCTAAACTGTTTTGGGAAAAGAATAATTTACATTTACTAACATGAAGCAAACTGGTAGTACACCTTTAAAAATCACTTCCACAGATGAATGGAATGCTGATCCATTTCCCTGGTTAGCACTGCACAATCCCTAATGCTGCCAAGAGCTCAATATTGCCAAAGAGTTGTTAAACCACAATTTCAATAATTCTAGCATTGAGCAATGGTAGTTAAAGCGGTGTCAAATTGCAATAATTCTAGATGCATCCAAAGACTAAGGTTCTTCCTAAATTATCTGCTGCTACATGAAACCTCATAAGATTCTTACACATTTCTTATAGATCTTCCTCTAAGCAAATTTTAGTCTGCGATAGTGTGGCCAAAACAGCCAGAAAAGAGTTGAAATTAATGACATGGAGAATCGACAATTAGGAAGCAGCTATTAACAGCTTTGGATTCAACCAGATATTTATTTATTTTCTGTATTTGTATACTGCATTTCTCAGCCCGTAGGAGACTCAAGGCAGTTAACAGGGTAAAATTCAATGCTTACAATATCATAAATACAATTAAAAACATAACATATAATAACAATTAAACATATCAATAAAATATAAATTCATCATGTCACCTTGTTAAAAACATTGTCCGGTCTCATTGTCGTCATTCCATTTTCCTTTGTCAGTTACTCTGCATTTGGAAACGCTTGTTCAAAAAGCCACTTCTTGACTTTTTTCCGGAATGTTAAAAGGGAGGTGGCCGATCTAATTTCTATAGGGAGGGTGTTCCATAGACGGCTCTGTCTCTCGTCTCCGCCAAACGTACTTGTGACGAAGGCAGTAACAAGAGCAGGGCCTCCCCAGATGATCTTAAGGTCCTAGATGGTTCATAAGGGGAGATGCGTTCGGACATGTAAGTTGGGCCAGAACTGTTTAGGGCTTTATAGGCTAAAGCCAGCACTTTGAATTGTGCCCAGTAGCAAACTGGCAGCCAATGGAGCTGACACAACAGAGGAGTTGTACGCTCCCTGAGCGCCACTCCTGTTAGCAATCTGGCTGCCTTTCGTTGGACCATTTGAAGCTTCTGGACAGTCTTCAAAGGTAACCCCACATAGAGCAAGTTGCAGTAGTCAATACGGGATGTAACCAGAGTTTGGACTACTGTGGCCAAGTCAGACTTCCCAAGGTACAGGTGCAGCTGGTGCACAAGTTTTAACTGTGCAAATGCTCCCCTAGTCACTGCCAAAACCTGGGGTTCCAAGCTCAGCGATGAATCCAGGATCACACCCAAGCTGTGAACCTGCGTCTTCAGGGGGAGTGTAACCCCATCCAATATTGTGGTGGGAGGTTGGTAGAATCTCCTTCTCTGGAGATTTTTAAACAGAGACTGGATAGCCATCTGTCAGGCATGCTTTGAGTGGCTGCTCCTACATGACAGAATGTTGTTGGACTGGATGGCCCTTAGGGTCTCCTCCAATTTTAGGATTCTATCTAAATATCAGATTATTTCAGTTAACATAGCCTTATGTTTCTCTGTAAAATTAATGTATTTCCCAGATCCATAAAGTCTATTATGCACACTTGTTGTTGTTCATTTGTTCAGTTGTTTCCGACTCTTCGTGACTCCATGGACCAGTCCACGCCAGAGCTCCCTGTCGGTTGTCACCACCCCCAGCTCCTTCAAGGTCAATCCAGTCACTTCAAGGATACCATCCATCCATCTTGCCCTTTGTCGGCCCCTCTTCCTTTTTCCTTCCATTTTCCCCAGCATAATTGTCTTCTCTAAGCTTTCTTTATATCAGGATAATTACAAGTACTCTATATACTCGAGTATAAGCCTAGTTTTTCAGCCCTTTTTTAGGCTGAAAAAGTCCCCCTCGGCTTATACTCGAGTCAGGTTATTTATTATTTTACTCTGTTGTTGTTGTTGTTTCATTTATTATTATTTTTCTATTTATTAATATTACATTTATCATTTTACTCTATTATTATACATTTATTATTTTACTGTATAATTGTTGTTATTGCTACATTCATTATTTTACTCTTTTTATTATTATTGTTGTTATTATTATCTCGGTGGTGGCCCCTCGGCTATGGAATGCCCTACCAATGGAGATCAGACAGGCCCCGTCGCTTTTGGCGTTCAGGAAGCGGGTGAAGACGTGGCTCTTCGAGCAGGCGTTCGGATGAGCAGGCAACTAACATCAGACTCACAAGAATGGCACTCTGAACAAGGAATGGCTAATGGACTACGAGATTGGATCTGATTTTATTGAGGCCGATGACGTTATGTGTTTTGTTTGTGTTGTTTGTCACTTGCATTGTTAAATGTTGTTTTCACTGTAAACCGCTTAGAGTCGCCTTGGCTGATATAGGCGGTATACAAAAGAAGTTAATAAATAAATAAATAATAAATATTACATTTATTATTTTACTCTTTATAATTATTGGAAAGATACGTAAGCACATTTACATTGAAGAAGGTTAGAATAATGGTTTAATCAGAGTTGGACAGTCTTATCTTAAATTACAGTTTTATGTAAATATTCAAAAATATTTAACCTACTGATTCCTCAATTAATGGAATTTAATTGGTATCTATTTTTATTTTGCAATTAGCCGACCCCTGCCACGCATTGCTGTGGCCCAGTCTGTGTATATGTGTTTTGTGTGTATATATATTTGTGTATATGTGTTGTTTAAGTATATATATGTGGTTTTGTGCATGCATTGTAATGTATTTTTTTTTGCTTTTTGAGTCTCTTCTGCTGTGTTTTTCAGTGTTTTTATGAGTGACAGTCACTCGTTGGCCTGATAGGTGTATTATGTCTAAATTTGGTGCCAATTCGTTAAGTGGTTTTTGAGTTATGTTAATCTCACAAACAAACATTACATTACATTTTATTTATATAGATTTACCAGTAGCTGCTGCATTTCCCACCCTCGGCTTATACTCGATTCAATCTGTTTTCTCAGTTATTTGTGGTAAAATTAGGTGCCTCGGCTTATATTCGGGTTGACTTATACTCAAGTATATACGGTACTTCATCTTGGCCTCTACTATTCTTCACTCCAATGAGCAGTCAGGCTTTATTTCTTGAAGTATGGACTGATTGGATCTTTTCGCAGTCCAAGGCACTCTCAGAACTTTCCTCCAGCACCACAGTTCAATCTTCCTTCGCTGAGCCTTCCCTATGGTCCAGCTCTCACATCTGTAGGTGACTACGGGGAATACCATTGCTTTGACTATGCGGATCTTTGTTGCCAGTGTGATGTCTCTACTCTTCACTATTCTATCAAGATAAAATTATGCACACACTTCTGTCTTTATTTTCAAGTGTGGAGGAGTTTAAAATAAAGTCAGATTTTGTAAAAGCCTCTTGTTCGGTCTATATAAAAAGCAAATCCTTCTAACCCTCAAATAGGGAACATCTCTTAAAATAAAGAACAAGATTTCAAATTCTCAAATGAGGGACAAAACAACTGTTCTTGCCCTTCTAGGCTCCTATAGAATCATAAGTGATAACTATAGTGGGTAGAAAATTCAGTCACAGCACTGGAGAATTAGTGTTGAGTTCCCAGATGTTTTAGATAACCATGCAATGCAGTTCCATTCATCAGACTCACAATCAATGTAGTGCCTGCTGGAATTCTGACCCCTTCGATGACGTTTTCCTTTCCTGTCCAGCGTACGGTGCCTGGAACTGGTGGATATAATCGTAAGACTTCTTTAAGGACCTAAGTCAATAAAGACAATTTAAATTAAACACTGAGGATCCAAACATTACTTTCAACAGCAAACCAAAGGAAGACTACAGAGCCACACTAGAAGATCTAAAGCAGGGGTGTCCAACTCATTTTCACAAAGGACCACATCAGCTTTATGTTTGCCTTCAAAAGGCTGTTAATAATAATAAACTTTATTTGTATACCGCTCTGTCTCCCTGAGGGGACTCAGGGCGGTTTCCAGCATAGGTAAAGCATTCAATTACCAACACAAAATCATACAGAATAAGCATTATAAAGCATAAACATAATACTATTAAAATAGTCATACATTTTAAAATTTAAAAGCCAGTTCCAGTACTATTCCACTGGGTAAAATTTAACTACCAATGGCCAGGAATTCAGAGTGGGCCTAGACAACTATTAGAGGGCTGGGCTAGTGCAACGAAGTAGCATTGGGCTGGGGGGGTGGATAAAATGCAAAGCAGGGTCCTAACTGATGGTCAGGGTAGGGCCTGGCTACTTATTTCCAAAGCATGCAGAACACCTATAGGAGGGCTGGGCCAACAGGGAAGCATAGGGCCGGGTAAAGTGCATAGGGGTCCTAACTAATGGCCAGGGTAGGACCTGGGGCTACTCATTTCCAAGGCCTACTAAATAGCTATAATAGGGCTGGGCCAAGCCTAATACAACAAGGTAGCATAAGGCCATGGATATGGGTAAAATGTAAAGCAGGGACCTGATGGCCAGGGTAGGGTTAGGGGCTAATCATTTTCAAAAGTGATGTATTGTGTCCAAAAATTTGGTGTCAATTCATCCAGTGGTTTTTGAGTTATGTTAATCCCATAAACGAACATACATTTTTATTTCTATAGATTTAGATGAAGGGTTAGAAGGCATGATCATCAAGTTTGCAGACGGTACCAAATTGGGAGGGATAGCTAATACCCCTGAAGACAGACACCGAATCCAAAATGATCTCAACAGATTAGAGAGATAGGCCAAAACAAAATGAATTTAACAGTGACAAATGCAAGATACTCCACCTTGAGGTTATCTGGTTAGTTTCCATGACTGCAGGCATGTAGCCGGGGGGGGGGGGGCCTCGGGGGGCTTCAGCCCCCCCCCCCAAAATTCTCATGGTGGTTCGCAAAAAGGCCTTACTGGTGCATTATTTAAACTGTTATGTTTATTCATATCATGATCTGATCACCATACTCAATATATCCCATATGCATGGGGGTATTGGGGTAATGATACAAAAGGTTTGCTAGGGTAGACCCTCTTTCACTCAGACTCAGCCCCCCGAAACTCAGCCCCCCCGAAACCCCCCCTGAAAAAAACTCAGCCCCCCCCCCCCCGAAACGAAATCCTGGCTACGGGCCTGCATGACTGTGTAATGATTTAAAGTCTCCAGAGTGATAGTTCAGAGTTATAGTCCATAGTCAAACTCCAGAGTTATAACGTGAATATGATGCTGGCTCTCTTACTGATGCATACCTGTGATAAATATTCAAGTTTTCTGAGATCTTCATAGGGAATGTCTTTCTTCACACCAATGACTTCATCCACTTCTGCCTGGAGTCTAAAAAGCAGGTCCAAGAGACATGTTAAATTACAACATGATTTTGACTGTATTTATTTATTTATTTATTTACCTTACTTATATACCGCTGTTCTCAGCCCGAAGGCGACTCACAGCAGTTCACAACAAATACGAACAGCAAAAATTCAGTGCTACAGTATAGAAACAGTTAACAACCTAACACATTACACAATTAATAAACTGTTACTACAATACCCATTCACTGTCGTCTCGTCATCAAAAACATGTTCCAGATTCATCATCCATTGTTCCATTCCAGTGTTCATTAACCAATCATTGCACTAATTATTCAAACTAGTATCTAGTGGACCTTGTTCTTGTCACCAAATATAATGTACTCAGAATTTAGTGTGCAATCCTATGTTCCTTTTAACACCCCAAAACCTTAATGGAGTGTACTGTGTGGACATATTTAAGACTGCACCATGCTGGCAGGTTTGGGAGAATTGATAGGCCTGAGAAAATGTCAATATAATAGTGAGAACTGCTGATGACTGTAGCTGCTCAAAGTCCATAGCAGCTGTTCACCACTCAAGTAGCTCAGATGCTTTCAAAAATTGAAAAACATTTAAGGGAATAATGAGAAATAAAGAATAATTAGACAAATTACCTACTTTGCAACTATATCTGGGTGTCGTGACAATTCCATCACAGCAAAGGATAATTGATTAGCTGTGGTTTCATGGCCTGTTGAATAGAGAAAATAGTTAAATGACGGAGAAGGAAAGGGGATAAAACAGAGCTCTACGATTTGACAACAGCTTATGAAACTAAATTGTAGTTTTGTGCCTTCTGACTTAAAGCAAACCTGTTTCAGGGTTTTCTTGGCAATATTTATTCAGAAGAGGTTTAGCATTGGCTTTTTCTGAAGCTGAGAGTTTCTGACTTGTCCACTCAGTGAGTTTTGTGGCCGAGTGAGAATTTGAACCCTAGTATCCAGAGCTGTAGTCCAGGACTCAAACCATGATATCACATTGCCTTACATGCATGCCGCTGTATCAGGCATGGGCAAACTTTGACCCTTCAGTTGTTTTGGACGTCAACTCCCACAATTTGAAGTTGAAGTCCAAAACACCTGGAGGGCCAAAGTTTGCCCATGCCTGAGCTATACCATGTATTTTTATAAGACAAAATAGCTAAACACAAAGAAATATAGCTCTTGAGCACTTGCCTAATCTAAAAAGTGGTCCTTTGCCCCTTGGAAGTAGCCTATTCTTGTCCTAAATGGAAATGGCTAGTTCTATTCATCTCAAACCACCAATCCAGCCAGTATTATGCTTTAACACTCAGAAAAGAAAGGAAAAAAACTCCACTAGTCTTCCTTCTTTCCCTGAAGGTAAGGGAGTTGTAAAACTACAAAATGGAAGCTCCAGTCTTCTCTCCTTTCTTCTTCCTCCGAGAGAAATCAGTTTATATAAACTGGAACAGAAGTCTCTGGATATTGGACCATCCTTCCTTCCAAGTTTCTCCAAAGAACTCAATTCCAAGTTTTGTAAACTGCTTTGCCTCAGAAGGACAGAGAGAAAAGGAGTTAAGCTTCAGAGACCTCAATTTTATAATTTTTAAACTGCCTTGCCTTTGGATAATGAAGGGAGGAATGAAAAATCAGCCCAAAATGAAGTTGTCTAGTATGCAAGGAAAACAAAAATATATCATTTTTGGAACCCTATAAACAGAGGTGTGACTATTATGTGGTGGTGACTATAATGCAATATGGAGAGAAAAAGAGACAAATTATGAAGACAGTAAACAGTATGTCATCCTATTCCCATGACCCATTAAAATTGTCTTTTCTCTGATTGCAGTATGTTAACTTATTTATATTTTTCCTTCTCTCTAAATTTCATTTAATATGTTTACTTTGTTTATGATAAGAAAATATTTTTCTTCTCTAGATTTCAAAACCAGTCTCCCTTTTCCTTCTTGTCATAATCCGCAAAAGGTTGCCAGATTTTTAAATAAGTCTTTATAGTTGTCTTTATTAATGCTGTCTAATCTAATTCAGCCAAATCCATTATTTTTTATATATTCTACAATATTTGGACTCATTATTTTCCAGTGCTTTCTGTACAACAATCTTGCAACTGTTGTCATTCAGCACATTAAAATTCGATACTTTCTTTCAATCATATTTTCCAAATCAACCATACTTTAGAGGGCCAATTCAGTTTCAAATGCTACTTCTGTTTTTGAAATTTTCTTTTTTTAAGTAATTCTTATTTGAGAGGAAAAAAAGATCATAACGGAACAGCAATAATAATACAAACAAGCAAGATGTTGTGATAAGTAGCACTAAAAATACACAGCTACATTCTACTTAACATTACCAACTGCCACTTATACCAGACATAACCACAAAAACCACCCAAACTAACTGAAAAAACAAGAGAAGTAAACCGATCTCACACTCACTATCTCACCCCTACAAAGCAGTCCTGCTTTAATCTCTGTCCTGCATGTTTAAGGGGTCAGACTAGACTGTGACTCCTTATGAATCTGTGCCTCAGTTTATATGTAAACAGGGCTTATGTATTATAAGGATAGCACAATACACAAACCTGCGACAAAGAAGGTGACAAAATTGTCCAGCATATTTTCAATATCATGGTGTTCTTCTTGAGCTAACAAAGGCAAGAAAGAAAGAATAGTTGGTATATCTCTTCAAAGCCTCAGCAGCTAGTACAATCTAGCTCTTCTGGCATAGTATTTGTGAATGAGACCAAAAAGTCGCATTTTTAACCCTCTTTCAATTACTGCTGCTGCATTTTTGGTATGATGTTGTTATTGGGGTTTTTGTTATCAGTAACTCAGTACCATTACTAGTTCAATCTGGCATTTGTAAGCTTTTCAGTTTTCTGACAATAACCCATCAGATAAGTAGGGCTTCCTGTAATGATTACTATACTGAGTATTTTTTAAATTTTCACTGGATTTTTTTTTGTGTCGGGAGCGACTTGAGAAACTTGCTTCTGGTCTGAGAAAATTGGCTGCCTGCAAGGACATTGCCCGGGGGATGCCCAGATGCTTTACCATCCCGTGGGAGGCTTCTTTCATGTCCCTGCATGAGAAGCTGGAGCTGACAGATGGGAGCTCACCCCGCTCCCCAGATTAGAAAGGACAACCTTTAGGTCATCAGTCCTGTCAGCACAAGGTTTAACTCATTACACCCTCAGGGGTTTACTGGAATTATACTCTGCCTTTCCCCAGGATTATTACTATGATACTTATAATGAATACATCCTGTAATATTTAATATTCTCAATAATAATATTCTCAATAATAATAATATCAGAAGAAGAAGAAGAAGAAGAAGAAATAGAAATAATTGAATCAAACAATTTATTGGTATTTCGGCGTTTTCATCCACAATAAGCCTCTTACCAGCATTCTTGAGTATCTGGGTGAGAATATCCAAAGGAACCTCTTCTCCATTCTGAATAGCCTTTTGCCTCTTCTCAATGCACTCTTTCCCAGTGCGACGTAGCAGCCTCAAGCTTTCCCGAATCTCTCTCACAGTCTTTCTGTTTCCTGGCATATACTAAACAGTTAATAATCTCAATTTTAATGTGAGTATCACAGTGACCTCTGTCTTCTACTGAGATGGGGGTGACCAGAAGATACCCTACAGTCCATTGATCAAAATACCAGCTAAATTTATAGTGTGTTGCTGCTGTTCCTTAAGTTTTATGTTACTGTTTCATTTGACACACTTTCTTAATGAGTAAAATATTATTTTATTAGTTGTATGATATCTTGAAAACTTGCATTGAAGAATGCCATGTATATTTCATAAAGAAATAAAGAAACAGCTTAGTATGGAACCTACAAAGTGCTCCATGGCTATGAATGGCACCCACATTATTTATTTCATGCATTTCTACCCCGCCCTTCTCCCCCCAAAGGGGGACTCAATGAAGCTCATTGAAGTCAACCAATCAATCTGAAATATCGTACACTAGACTGGAGACTTCAACGCCTTAACCTACAACTACAATCACAACAGACAGAACACCAGGGGTGCCAAAAATAATTTTGCAGGTGCCTTCCTATTATTTAGATATTGTGTCACATACATGTATTTTTGCTATTCGTTGGGTTACTGCATGTGAGAATATTGCTCGTGTCAAATTATTAAGGGAAGTTTATGTCTCGGCATATCATAGAACTGCACTGGAAGACCTAGAGATTTCTAGAGATATCCTTTCTAGAAGTTTGCTAGGTCTTCCAGCACAATTCTATGATGACTTCCAGGGGACACATACCATAGAATCACCAGGAGGACCTAAGGCAAATTCTTAGAGAGACCCATTATTCCACAGACGTAGGGAAATGAAATTGCATATATCGGTTTTGTGGTTAGGATTGTCTTACTATACATTTTTCTGTTCTTCCAGTTCAATCTGGTTTTGATTTAGACCACCTTTTGGCATTAACCCACAGCTTACATGGAGATACCAGTTAAGGATGCCAAGTCAAGAAAAGCTGCTAACAGGATGTAACAATTACTGAATATTAGATGGGTCACTGATGCATCAATGAGAAATGTCTGAAATAACCCAGAAAATAAGTAAATGTTTCCCAGCATAGACATTTATGACAACAGGAGAAATTGGTGTGGGTCTAATGACAGATAAAACTCTACTAGGTTGCACAAGTCATACTAGGGAGCAAAGAGGAAAGCAGTGCAAGAACCAGAACAAAAATCTTGAGTACTGTATATCTGAAATGGGTCAATAAGGAATGCTGTGGTGGTCAAAAAGATTTGTGATCTGCATGAAAGTTGTCAGACAGAGATGCAAAGTGTACAAACAGTTCAAGCTGTGCATGAGGTCATGCAAACAGAGTTGCCCGGCCAAAACAAGCAGTCTTTACAGATCACTGATTTATTTATTTATTTATTTATTTACAGCATTTTTACCCCACCCTTCTCAACCCCCCCCCCCCCGGGTGGGGGGACTCACAACGGCTATCACAGGCAGCAATTCGATGCCATAATATAAATAAACATCAGTATAAAAACATAAATGCATAAAAGATTTAAAACAGTAACAATTAATTATATAATCACATAATCACATATCCATTTCCAATTATCATAACAGTCGTCAGGTTCAAAGCGCTGCTGCAACCACTAGCCAAAAGCCTGGTTCCAAAACCATGATTTTAGTTTTTTTCTGAAGGAAAGGAGGGAGGACGCCGATCTAATCTCACTGGGGAGTGAATTCCACAAGTGGGGGGTCACTACTGAGAAGGCCCTGTCCCTCGTCCCCACCAGATGCGTTGATGAGGCTGGTGGAACTGAGAGCAGGGCCTCCCCTGGGCTGGTACCATATAGGGCTTTATAGGCCAAGACCAGCACTTTGAATTGTGCTCGGAAGTGGATTGGCAGCCAATGGAGCTGACATAACAGGTAGGTAGTGTGCTCCCTGTATGGCACTCCAGTAAGTAATCTGGCTGCCACCCAGTCTTTAAAACAGTCTTTAAAAGCAACCCCACGTAGAGTGCATTGCAGTAATCTATTCAGGATGTAACCAGAGCGTGGACCACCATGGCCAGATCAGAATTCCCAAGGTACGGGCGCAACTGGTGCATAAGCTTTAACTGTGCAAAAGCTCCCCTAGCCACTGCCGAAATTTGGGGTTCCAGGCTCAGCTATGAATCCAGGATCACTCCCAAGCTGCGAACCTGTGTCTTCAGGGGGAGTGTAACCCTGTCCAACACAGGCTGTAACCTTATGCCCTGTTCGACCTTTCAACTGACCAGGAGGACCTTTGTCTTGCCTGGATTCAATTTCAATTTGTTAGGCTTCATCCAGTCTGACACAGCAGCCAAGCACTGGTTCAAGGTCTGAATAGCCTCCTTAGTGACAGATGGGAAGGAGTGATAGATTTGGACATCATCTGCGTACAGATAATCTTATTCCGAAACTCTGGATCCTCTCCCCAGCTTCATCAGCTTCATGTAGATGTTAACATCGGGGACAATACTGAGCCCTGAGGAACTCCACAAAACAATGGTTGTGGAGTCGAACAGGTGTCCCCCAATAATACCTTCTGGGACCGTCCCCCCAGGAAGGACCGGAGCCACTGCAAAGCACTACCCCCAATGCCCATCTCTGCGAGGCGTCCCAGAAGGATACTGTGGTCAACGGTATCGATGGGCGCTGAGAGGTCCAGCGGAACTAACAGGGACTGCTGGACCTCTCATGAGATTATATTACTATTCATCTCATTTGATCCATACTATTCATCTCATTTGGTCTGTGCTAGTCCAGAAGCTGAAACATCAACCTCTGGCAAGCTTCAGTGATGGTTCTTCAACAGAGTAGAGAGCAGATCAACAGAATTAGAACTTGGAAAAGTTATTGTGGAGGACAATTCCCAGAATCTACCAGCCAGTATAACCAAAAGATCTGCTGCCTGTGGATTTTGGGAACTGCAATAAACTCTGAGGGGAACCATCAGAGTAATGCAGAAAGCAATGCTCACATCTTCCACAGCTGCATTCTGGCTTGAAACTTTTCACATTTGCTTGCTATTCCAATTCTAAAGGTTAAGGTTAAGGTTTCCCCTTGCCATTAAGTCTAGTCGCGTCCAACTATGGGGGATGGTGCTCATCTCCATTTCTAAGTGGAAGAGCCGGCATTGTCTGTAGGCACCTCCAAGGTCATATGGCTGGCATGACTGCATGGAGCGCCGCTACCTTCCCTATCTATTGATCTACTCAAATTTGAATGTTTTTAAACTGCTAGGTTGGTAGAAGCTGGGGCTAGCAGTGGGAGCTCACACTACTCCCCGGATTCGAACCACCAACCTTTCAGTCAGCAAGTTCAGCAGCACAGCAGCTTAAACCGCTGCACCACCAGGGACTCCCAATTCCAATTCTAGGTTTGTACAAATCTAGAATGAGTGAGTTTGAGAAACAATCCCAAGAGTGAATTCAAATAAAAAATCTGTACTGACCTTGAATAGAGGTATGCGAGTATTAGTCATCCCTTTCATGACCAAGTTCACTGCGTGTGGAAAAGGCGTCTGCTCATCATGTAAGGTGTTCAATTCTAGGCCAAAAGCCACCTAATAATATTAACAGATATGAAGTCAAAGATATGAGGACTAGAAATCATTGAGGGAAGTCATTGTCTATTCTGCTTTGGTCAGACTTCACTGGAATCCTGTGTCTGGTTCTGGGCATCAAAATTCAAGAATGTTGACAAGCTGAAATGGGTCCAAAGAAGGACAACCAAAATGGTCAAAGGTCTGGAAGACAAGCCCTATGACAAAGGCTGAGGGAGCTGAGTATATTTAGCTTGGAGAAGAGAAGGCGAAGACAGGACATAACAACTATCTTTAAATATTTTAATGGATGTCAGATTGAGAAGGAGATAAGATTGTTTTCTGTTGCTTCAAAAACCAAGACATTTTTAAGCACAGACTGGATGGCAGTTTGTCAGGAGCGCTTTGATTGTATGTTCCCTTGTGGCAGAAAGGGATTGGAATAGATGGCCTTTGGGCTCTCTTCTAACTCCATCTATACTAAGGCCATAATAAATATGCATCTCAACATATCGATACAGCAACTGAAAACTTGAAATGGTATGTCTTCTACCTTAGCAGCCATGTAGAAACATAGTAAACAGCAACATTAATTCATGCCAAATTTGTCTATTTTTGTTTAAACCCAGATTAATTTTCTACAACCAAATAATCTGTCCAACTCCATTGGTTCAGTAGATGTGTACTTCATGTGAAAATTTCTGGAAATTTAGCAATACTTTTTGCATAACCAAACCTGCTGACCTACTTCATTGGATCAGTAAATATAAAGTTCACATGAATTTTCTTGCGAAATTTTAGGAATATTTTTCTGCAAAACTTGATGACATAGAAATTAATAGTAGGAAGAAAGTACAGTAGAGTGATTCTTTTGTCAAGTGACAGGAAACATTGATAGATTGCTTTGTCATTGACATTAATGAAACTTTCTTAAATTATTCCTCTGATTTTTTGGTTTCTGAATCGGGCACTGTGTGTAAATGAAATGTGGATTCCCTTCAGCTACAGTTTCTATTTGCATAAGTACAGCTGGGTTAACTGGAAAAAAAAGGAAAGAACTCAGTGACATTTTAAACCTCCATGCACTCAATACTGATACCAATGAATTATCCAAAGAACGAAAGTTTAGATTATGGGTTTAATATACAGGAAAAAGCAACAGATTTCATAAAATACTTTTTGTCTTTGTTTTTCTTGCTTGAGGGACTGTGACCTGGCCCTCCGTTTAAAAAGTCTGTGGACCCCTGGTATAGACTTTTGATCCCTGGACCTCTTGAACCCTGGACTTGCTCATTGACTCTCGGCGTTTGACCACTGAACTGGACCTTTTGACTACGGTGTTATCTTGAACCTGCAACAGTGTTTGCTGTCAGTTTTTGTTTTATATTCTGTGGCTGAGTGCTGTCTTTATGTTTTATAGTTGGAGTATTAAAACAGCCAGAAAGTAAGTACTGCTTTAATTAAATTGTTTAGCACAAACTGGGAGTTTGTTTGGTTCATCTCTACATGAATATGGCAGAGTCCTGGCATCGTGACATTTTCATTGGTTAATTAAATATATGTCTTCAGCTGATGCAGTGTTGGTCTCTACATCACATTTTACATCCATGGAAAAGAAACATTCATGTAATCACAACCTTTGCAATGATGTCCAGCGTCACCCGTCTCAGAAGGTCCATCACATCCACTTTGGTTTCTCCATCTGCCTTTTTCTCCAGTTCCATCATAAGCTCTTCTGCTTGGTCATTGAATGTTTCCATGAGGCCAATCAGGTAACTGAAATTAATACAAGCTGCTGAAGAAAGGGCTTTGTGGTTTATCTAGCCACTTTTCTATGAAAAACTGGGGTCTACAAATTGCTCACAGTCACAAGAAAGAAAAATGGCATTACTACCCACTGCACACTATATATATATATATATATATATATATATATACACACACACACACACACACACACACACACACACACACATATATATATACACACGCACACACATGAACAGACATCTGATTTAAACTAAGTCCGACTCTTGGTCCACAGATCCCAGTATTTTCAGCTCTGGTTAGCTCTGGTTAGCAACATATATCCAGGGTTTCAGGCCAGATTCTTTCTTAGCTCTACCCAGGGATCCCTGCTATTTCCTGGTAGTTTCCTATGTAAATAAAAGTATTCACATGGGTTAAAATCTATACCATCCCTTTAAAATCCATATCAGCCTTTGAAAAAGCCCCACTCCAAAAATCTACTTTTTTCCTCACGTTCGACTGAAGGCTGGATCCATAATTCTCCTCTGCTTGTGCCAATGGTCATATTCGCGATCTGTTACTAACCCATTTCCTAAAAATCTGGAAAAAGCAGAGAAAAGAATCTCTATTATTTGGAGATAGTTCCGGTTATATTTTGATCAACCAAACATGATTTGAAGAAGGACAGGCTATAGCACTTGTATATTCTTTTCACTTCACATCTCTCCTATGCTCTCGTTCTTATGCTATCGCTCAGTTGGCTTCCTCAGTTGGTAGATCATTTGGCCAGGATGTGTACTGGAGTACACATCCTGGCCAAATGATCTACCAACTGAGGAAGCCATGTTAAAATTCATTTTCAGTTATTTGAAACTGTGATCAAAACATTAATAAGACCTCTACTGGGGGAAAACATAATCACATATCATTGAGTTGGATAATATCTGCTGAGTATCGAATGTTCTGTTTTGAGACCAAAGTTCTCAACAACACAGTGTTGTTGCAACTGCAGGCCTTTCTGGATGAAATAGATTATCTCTAAACTCATTCTGAACTGGTTTTAAACTTGGTCAGAGAATGGAAAAGGATTTACATCAGATGATGGGAAAAAACTCCTGCTCAAGGTCTTGAACTTTATTGTGTTGCTCAATGTCAAGATAAAGCTAGGGGAGATCACCCTTGGAGACATCTTTGATACATAGTTTTCACCAATTCATATACAATTTTCACTGGTCCATACCTGAATTCCCAACACAAAACTTTATATATAGCACTGGATAAATCATCTGCACAGTTGCCTTAAGAATTACAGTTGTGTAAGAATATTGGTCCATTCTCTTAACAAAAATGTCATGTCCAATTGAACTTTATATTAACCTACCTTACACCAAACATATTGTAAAGGCGCCCATATACAAATCGGTCTTTTGGGTATTGTGGCAACATCAAGTACTCCTAAAATTAAATTTTCTGGTCAGTCCATTTCAAGTAGAATACATACAGAATAAATCTCAGTTTCTATCACCTATCCCCAAGGGGACTCGGGGCAGATTCCAGCACACACAAACACAATGGCAAACATTCAATGCCTAGAAACAACAAACACAAATAAAGGTAAGACTTCCTTTTCTGGCTCTGGAGGAGTGGTGCTCATCTCCATTTCTAAGCTGAAGAGCCTGCGTTGTCCGTAGACACTTCCTTGGTCATGTGGCCTGCATGACTGCATGGAGCGCCGTTTACCTTCCCACCAAGGTGGTACCTATTGATCTACTCACATTTGCATGTTTTCAAACTGCTAGGTTGGCAGAAGCTAGGGCTAATAGTGGGAGTTCACCCCGTCCTGCAGATTCAAATTGCCAACCTTTCTGTCTACAAGTTCAGCAGCTAAGCGGTTTAACACGTTACAGTACCGCAAGCCCCTTGAACATAGGATTGTTCTTTAGGTAGAATGTTACTATTCTACCTAGAACATTATACATATTATTTTCATTTTGTAGAGTGTTTTTTTATTTTATCTTCCTGCCAAAAACATGGTTAGGAAGTTTTGAAAATGAAATATATTTTCTATCTTATTTCACATAATAATAATAATAATAATAATAATAATAATAATAATAATAATTTAAGAAAATAACAACAACAAAAACAGCTATGGGAAGATATGATCACTTTGCTGAATATGCCATGAGCTCATTTGTTATATTTCTCTTCATCATTACGAAGGTAATATTTCACAACATACCTTGACACCCTCAGGGCTTAAGATCAACAAGGAGACTCTGTGAAAGGCATTGAAACGCAATACTGGTCCATATTCTTCCGCCCTGTAAAGACAAGACATAAATAGATGTTACAAAAGAACCAAATAATTATTTTTAAAAGTTTGTTCTCATGGCTATTTTTATGGCTGATGGTTACAAATAACCAAAAGACACTGAGAAAAACATTTCAGATCAGCTCTAGAAGAGATATACATTATTTTATTGTTGTTCATTGATATACATCAGGCTGCTAAGAATAACCAAAGCAAATTTTCTGAATCTGCAAACAATACATTTGATTACACCCAAATATCTGATTCCTCAAAAACAACAATACTTCGGAATTTCTTTCATATTTAATTTAACTCTACCAGAAAAAAAAATCAATACTGATTATAGAATCATAGAGTTGGAAGAGATCTCATGGGCCATCCAGTCCAACCCCTGCCAAGAAGCAGGAAAATTGCATTCAAAGCACCCCCGACAGATGACCATCCGGCCTCTACTTAAAAGCCTCCAAAGAAGGAGCCTTCACCACACTTCGGGGCAGAGAGTTCCACTGCTGAACAGCTCTCACAGTTAGAAAGCTCCTCCTAATAATGTTCGGGTGGAATCTCCTTTCCTGTAGTTTGATTCTTTATCAAAACAATGTTTAAGGTTAATTTTTCATTTTTTTAAAACAGATCTTATCTAGACATTTAAATCCTAAAGATGAAGAAACTTTAAAAGCACCAGAATTGCAGTTCACAGTCTCTTATGTCGAGCTATCCAAATAATTTCCATAAAACTTACCATTGCAGAAAGAGATCGTGCACAAGTTCCTTGTTCTTCAGCATTTTCCACAAGATTGGAAGATGACCAAAGAAAAAGCTGTTAAAAACAAAGACAGGAGATGATACACTGCCTTTCAGAAAGTTAGATTGCAAGATTATTTATTTAATATTTTCTATCCCGCCTTTCTCTACCCCGAGGGGGGCTCAAGGCAGCTTATAGATAGGTAATAATTCAATGCCTTAACAACAATATACAACTAAATCAAACATTTAAATTGAAATTAAAATCAAAATTAAAATACATTAAACATTTTAAAAACATTACAATCACTATAAAACCACACTATCTGCACTCATAATCCAGGTCATTCCGGTAGTTACTGCACATAATTCCAGTTAATCTATTGCACTATGGTTGTTCTCTGAAGGCTTGATCCCAGAATCACATTTTCACTCTCTTTCTGAAGGTCACGAGGGAGGGGGCTGATCTAACATTGCTGGGGAGGGAGTTCCACAGCTGAGGGGCCACCACTGAGAAGGCACTGTCTCTCGTTCCCACCAGTCACACCTGCGAAGAAGGTGGGACCGAGAGCAGGGAGATAAGGAGAGTCAGAGAGGAGAAATTTCTATGGCTAGTGGGACCTCTGGATCCATGAGATATGAATTCATGATTTCCAATTACTGAGGATTGTTGAGTCCCATGTTTGTAAATGGCAGCAACATGAATACAGGCACACTAAAACGTATACATTAATGTCACTGCAATTTGATAACATGGGCTGTAAACTCCACTTTTTTAAAGTATCTCTGGAGAGTCCCGGAACTCACTTTGGTTCTCAGGGCCCTTCCATATTGCCACTTTATTCCAAGATCTGATCCCAGATTATCTGTTTATCTCAGGATATCTGCCAGTGGGGACTCATATATTCCAGTTGAAGACCGATAGTCTGGGATCAGATCCTGGGATAAAGGGCCCTCAATCAAGAGATATAAATGGGATATAAATAAATATCATCATCATCATCATCGTTGTCGTCGCCGCCATCATCACCCAACCCTTGCGGATACAATGGGCCCACTGTAAATTAATGGATGAATTTCAAAGTAAAGTAAATTATCAGCAAAAACATAGTGCATGTCGCCCTCCCAGGGAGAAGTTATATAGACTCAGACCTTTCACAGTAATATTTTTATTTCATGTGTGAGAAAATTGGTCGTCTGCAAGGACATTGCCCAGGGGACACCGGATCATAGAATCATACAATCATAGAATCCTAGAGTTGGAAGAGACCTCATGGGCCATCCAGTCCAACCCCCTGCCAAGAAGCAGGAATATTGCATTCAAATCACCCCTGACAGATGGCCATCCAGCCTCTGTTTAAAAGCTTCCAAAGAAGGAGCCTCCACCACACTCCGGGGCAGAGAGTTCCACTGCTGAATGGCTCTCACAGTCAGGAAGTTCTTCCTCATGTTCAGATGGAATCTCCTCTCTTGTAGTTTGAAGCCATTGTTCCGCATCCTAGTCTCCAGGGAAGCAGAAAACAAGCTTGCTCCCTCCTCCCTATGACTTCCTCTCACATATTTATACATGGCTATCATATCTCCTCTCAGCCTTCTCTTCTTCAGGCTAAACATGCCCTGCTCCTTAAGCCGCTCCTTGGGCAACAACCTTGCAGACAGCCAATTCTCTCACACCAGAAACGACTTACAGTTTCTCAAGTCACTCCTGACACGGAAAAAAAACTAAGAGGATGGATTTTAATCAGTATTGTACCTGTGTATATTTGTTATATGTAATTCAAGAATGTTTTATCTACGCTGAGTCACAGGGAGAGGCAAGTAAACATTAAATTACTACTAATAATAAGGAAAGGGTCCAGTTATATTCTGATATAGAATCATTGAGTTGGAAGAGACCTCATGGGCCATCCAGTCCAACCCCATTCTGCCAAGAAGCAGGAAAATTGCATACAAAGCACCCCTGACAGATGGCCATCCAGCCTCTGTTTAAAAGCTTCCAAAGAAGGAGCCTCCACCACAGAGAGTTCCACTGCTGAACAACTCACACAGAAAGGAGATTCCATCTGAACATGAGGAAGAACTCCTGACTGTGAGAGCCGTTCAGCAGTGGAACTCTCTGCCCCGGAGTGTGGTGGAGGCTTTTAAACAGAGGCTGGATGGCCATCTGCCAGGGGTGCTTTGAATGCAATATTCCTGCTTCTTGGCAGGGGGCTGGACTGGATGGCCCAAGAGGTCTCTTCCAACTTTATGATTCTATGAAGGAGTCTCCACCACACTCCAGGGCAGAGAGTTCCACTGTTGAACAGCTCTCACAGTCAGGAAGTTCTTCCTAATGTTCAGGTGGAATATTTTGGCTGAGCAAGGAAGACGCTGCTGCCAATTGTGTGACATTATTATTCAGGTCCAAGTGCTGGACAAAAACAGACCTTTGGTCTTCTTATGTTGTTATTACAGGTTAATGTTTTCTCTCTGGTGCTGAATTGCATGAATCCTACAGTGTAGAGCAGGCCTGCGCAAACTAGGGCCCTCCAGGTGTTTTGGACTTCAACTCCCACCATTCCTAACAGCCTCAGGCCCCTTCCTTTTCCCCCTCAGCCGCTTAAGCTGAGGAAGGAAGGGGCCTGAGGCTGTTAGGAATGGTGGGAGTTGAAGTCCAAAACACCTGGAGGGCCCAAGTTGGCCCTTGCCTGTTGCAGATGCAAAGAAGGCAACCAGTGGTGCTTCTGCTGCCACTCTCTCTCTCTCTCACCTGGCTCGGGGGGCGCTGGGGATGTGGTCGTACTTGACATGAACCCATTGGATGTAGCCGCAATACAGCCCGAAAGCCAGGAGCCCCAGAGCCAGCAACACGCGCAACAGAACCCAGATCAAGGCCAGAACTTCCATAACAGCCGACAATGAGCTGTGAAGCCGCCGCCTCTTTGGAGCCTGGAATGCCCTCCGAAGGGTCAGTAGACCGGGGAGGAGCCTTGCCTTGTTAAAGGGACCGCGCTCTCCCTGCAGTCCAAAGCCAAGAACGGACCTCCTTCCTTCCTTCCTTCCTTCCTTCCTTCCACACTAACCATTGAATGCAACCCCAAACCGGTATTGCAGCAAGTGGTTTCGATAGGGAAATCCCTGAACTAGCTGAAAGGACCGCATGGTGATTAGCGATTACATAATCCACAGAGTACCTACTTTTTTCTCTCTCTCTCGTCAGGAGCGACTTGAGAAACTGCAAGTCGCTTCTGGTGTGAGAGAGTCGGCCGTCTGCAGGAACGTTCCCCAGGGGACGCCTGGATGTTTTGATGTTTTACCACCCTTGTGGGAGGCTTCTCTCATGTTCCCGCATGGGGAGCTGAAGCTGACAGAGGGAGCTCATCCATGCTCGCCATAGATTCGAACCTCTTATTTATTTATCGTGCCATCCGCAACCAGAACATTGTATTACATTTCTAACAGAACAAAACAAACAAACAGATAAAAAAAGAAACAAACAAAAAACCACAAATTTTGCAAACTTGGTAGCTGATTAAATGTCCTTTGACCAGTATCTGGCCCCTTGGAGTGCCTCTGGTGTTGCCGCAAGAAGGTCCTCCATTGTGCATGTGGCAGGGCTCAGGGTGCATTGCAGCAGGTGGTCAGTGGTTTGCTCTTCTCCACACTCGCATGTCGTGGATTCCACTTTGTAGCCCCATTTCTTAAGATTGGCTCTGCATCTCGTGGTGCCAGAGCGCAGTCTGTTCAGCGCCTTCCAAGTCACCCAGTCTTCTGTGTGCCCAGGGGGGAGTCTCTCATCTGGTATCACCCACGGATTGAGGTGCTGGGTTTGAGCCTGCCACTTTTGGACTCTCGCTTGCTGAGGTGTTCCAGCGAGTGTCTCTGTAGATCTAAGAAAACTATTTCTTGATTTAAGTCGTTGACGTGCTGGCTGATACCCAAACAAGGGATGAGCTGGAGATGTTGCAAGGGGACATGAGAGAAGCCTCCTCGCAGGATTGCAAGACATCCGGGCGTCCCCTGGGCAACGTCTTCGTAGACGGCTGATTCTCTCGATCCAGAGACGACTTGCAGCATTCGAACCTCTGGCCTGTCGGTTTTCAGTCCTGCTGGCACAAGGGTTTAACCCACTGCGCCACTGGGGGCTCCTAGGTCTGAAAAAAAAAGGAAATATAGATGGGAAAAATGGAAGGGTGCATCATTCTTTGCTTCACCCCCCACCCTTCCACATAGTTTCTAACCCATGGTGACCCTATGGCAGGAGTTTCTTGGCAAGATTTCTTCAGAGGCTTGCCGTTACCTACTCTGAGGGTGAGAGAGTGTGACTCTCCTCTCTGGAATTAATGCATCTTGACACAACATTAACTGCCATGGCATCAGTGAAGTTGTAATTTGAAAAGGTATTTCGCCTTCTCTGCCAAAGAGCGCTGCTTCCTCACCAAACTACAACTCCCAGGATTTCGTAGAATAGAGTCACAACAAATTGCTTTAATTCTACAGCGTAAATCCCCCCTGCCCCCAATGGATTTCCATTTCTAAGAGGGGATTTGAACCCAGGTCTCCAGAGTCCATATAGAATGATGAGGATGAGGATGATGGGACTTCCGACTTCAGACAGAGTTTTGGAGCACAATACTCCTGACCTCACAATCATGTTAAAAAACCAAGTAAGGATTGTCAATGTTGCAATCCCAGGTGACAGCAGGATTGAAGACCACCAACTGGAAAAGCTGACACAGTATGAGGATTTAAAGATCAAACTGCAAAGACTCTGGCACAAGCCAGTCAAGGTGGTCCCAGTGGTGATCGGCACACTGGGTGCAGTGCCTAAAGACCTTGGCCTGCACTTAAACACAATTGGCGCTGACAAAATTACCATCTGCCAGCTGCAAAAGGCCATCTTACTGGGATCTGCATGCATTATTCACTGATACATCACACAGTCCTAGACACTTGGGAAGTGTCCGACGTGTGATTCAATACAATAGCCAGCATTGTTATCTTGTTTGCTGTGGACTCATCTTGTTGTGTTTCTAATAATAAGAAGGAGAAGGAGAAGGAGACGACTCTGGCATAAACCAGCACAGGTGGTCATTGGCGCGCTGGGTGCCATGCCAAAAGATCTCAGCTGGCATTTGGAAACAATAAACATTGACAAAATCACAATTTGTCAACTGCAAAAGGCCACCTTACTTGGATCTGCTCACATCATTCAAAAATACATCACACAGTCCTAAACACTTGGGAAGTGTTCGACTTGTGATTTTGTGATACGAAATCCAGCATATAGATCTCGTTTGCTGTGTCATACTGTGATTTTCTGTCAGTAAAATAATAATAATAAAAAATATTTACTTATACCCCGCTTTTCTCCCCAATGGGATCCAAAGCAGCTCATAACATTTACAAAAAAATACAAATCAACCATACATATTGCAACAAGAAATAATCAACAGATGGTAGAATTAATGCAGTTTGATACTGCTTGAGCTGCAATGCCTCAAGGTTATGTAAACTTGGTTATTGCGGTTTCTTAAGGCTCCATGGCACTTTGCCAGAAAAAGCTTGCAAAAAAACATTGCAAAACGGCAGTTTCTACGATTCCATAGCCTCGAGCAATTGCAGTTCAAGCGGGGTCAAACTACATAACTTCTACAGTGTGGATGCAGCCCAAGGCTTAATTCTCCCTTGCTTCCTTCCTGGAAATAAAGCTGAAGAATGGAATACCTGGGCTTTCCATTCTAGCTCGAGGAAAAGAATTGGGGAGGGTCTATGGCAGGCCGGGCAAACTTCGGCCCTCCAGGTGTTTTGAACTTCAACTCCTACAATTCCTAATAGCCTAATTTCTAACATTCCTATGGCTGTTAGGAATTGTGGGAGTTGAAGTTCAAAACACCTGGAGAGCTAAAATTTGACCCATGCCTGGTCAAAAGGCTGATACTGGCAGGGGGCTCCTGGGAGCTGCAGTGTAAAAAAGTGGTTCATTTTTTGTGGCTAGGAGGGACCAGGCTGGGACTGTTACGCAAACTTGGTTTTGACACCCAAGAGGAAGTCCCTGGCCTCTCCTAGCCTCAAAAGACTTGACCCACCCAAGAAGAAACTGAGTTCTTTGCATCACTAGAGCTCTCCCAGACTCCAGCAAAAGGAGCAAAGTCCTCTTTTCCAAGAAGAAGAGGCCTGGATATTTTAGTTGCCCAAGGAGGCTTTTGGCTAGTCACCATGGAAGTATCCCTGGTGGTATCCCAGGTGACCTGGATCTTGCTAAGCGTGCTGGTGGCTTTGCTCCTCGTGGCTTTCCTCTTGTATGGCTCCTACATCAAATCTGTCCACAGAAAGTATGATCACATCCCCGGCCCTCCAAGGGACAGGTAAGTGGTCCTAGTTTAGTGGAACCAAGGCTGGAGGTGTCCATGACCCAAGGCTTTTTGTTGGTGTCAGGAATAATGACATCCCTTTCCAAAGGAAAGGTGCATCTACACCAGGCATGGGCAAATTTCAGCCCTCCAGATGCTTTGGACTTCAACTCCCCACAATTCCTAACAGTCTGTCCAAAATCTAGGTCTTTTTTTCATGTCAGGAACGACTTGTGAAACTGCAAGTCGCTTCTGGTGAGAGAGAATTGGCTATTTACAAGGATGTTGCCCAAGGGATGCCTGGATATTTTCATGTTTATCATCCTTGTGGGAGGTTTCTTTCATGTCCCTGCATGGGGAGCTGGAGCTGACAGAGGGAACTCATCCACGTTCTCCCGGATTCGAACCTCCGACCTGTTGGTCTTCAGTCCTACCAGCACAAGGGTTTAACCGGGGGCTCCGAAGTCTAAAAAAAGGAGGAAATATAGCTACAGCAAACTGGAAATATATTGAAATTGCACAATTCCTGAAAACTAAATTATTTTAAAAATTACTATCAAAGAAACTTGATAGTAAGAGGATGCAAGAGGATTAATGGTGAGAAATGCAAGAGATGCAAGACAATTAATGGTGAGAAAAGGAGCACTGAGGCACATTTCAAGACCACCGACAGGAATGTCCACACTTTGTATAATGGGTTCTATGGGACTCCAACTTAAAACTTTTTTAAAGTGTATAGAAATGGGTGGAATCCAGAGTCTGACACAGTCCTATGACACAGGTCAGTGTGGGTAGATAGCATACAGAGAACCAGTCCTAGGCTCTTACTAGGTGTGGGAATCATGTGGATCTTCAGACATTGTTGAACTGTGAATCCCAGCAATCCTAACCAGCAAAGCCAGTGATAAGGAATGCTAAAAATTGTATCCAGCTGCATTTAGAATGCCAATCAGTTCCTGTTCGTCTTTCAAATCACAATCTTAAGTTAAGCAAATGACCTTTTGCTGTTTGGTGGTGAGTTAGACATTCCTTGAGTTGGGATTTAAGCCTATCCAAAGAGTACATCATTCAAAGGGTTTCATTTTTTTTTAATGTTACAGCTTTTTCCTAGGTCACATTCCTACCCTTTGGAGAGCCTTTAAAAAGGAGAAACACTATTACGATCTCTTTGTTCAGTGGTAAGTTATTTTTCTTTATTCCAATAATTATAAATGTAGGACTCTGAACGGCAAGGGTCATTTTTAGCATAATGGGATCATGAATTTCTGATAGGATGAGCTCCATTCTGAGAAGAGGGTGCAGGAGAAATGTCAAATGGTAATCTGTTGGTGATAACACAATTTAGACTTTAGGAATAAGAAACAGTAAATATGAGCATTTGGGTACTCCTATAAGACTTGACAGCAATATATATGAAAAATATCTTGGAGTCCTCATGGATATATTAAACATGAGTGTGTCCCTGTTGGTTCTGCTGGACCTCTCATCGGCCTTTGATACCACATACCACAGTATCCTTCTGAGATGTCTTGCAGAAATGAGACTTGTTTTACAGTGGCTCGAGCCCTTTCTGGAAGCCCGTTCCCAAAAGGTGTTGTTAGGGGATACCTGCTCGGCCCCACGGCCATTGTACTGTGAGGTCCTGCAGGGTTCAGTCCTGTCCCCTATGTTGTTCAACATATATATGAAGCCATTGGGGGGAGATCATTCGGAATTTCGAGTGCAATGTCATCTGTACACAGATGATGTCCAGCTCTGTCACTCCTTCCCACCTGCTACTAAGGAGGCTGTCCAGGTCCTGAATCAGTGCTTGGCAGCTGTAACGGACTGGATGAGAGTGAACAAATTGAAACTAAATCCTCCTGGTCAGTTGGAAGGCCAAACAGGGTATAGGGTTACAGCCTGCGCTTGATGAGGTTGCACTCCCCCGAAGGTGCAGGTTCACAGTTTGGGAGTGATACTGGACTCATCACTGAGCCTGGAACCCCAGGTCTAGGGGAGCTTTCGCACAATTAAAACTTGTGTGCCAACTGCACCGTATCTTGGGAGGTCGGACTTGGCCATGGTGGTCCACACTCTGGTTACATCCCGAATAGATTACTGCAATGCACTCTATGTGGGGCTGCCTCTGAAGACTGTTCGGAAGCTTGAGCTAGTCCAACACTTGGCAGCCAGGTTGCTTACGGGAGCAGGGTATTAAGAGTGCACAACGCCCCTGCTATGCCAGCTCCACTGGCTGTTATTAGTTTCCGAGCAAAATTCAAAGTGCTGGCTTTAGCCTATAAAGCCCTTAACGGTTCTGGCCCAGTTTACCTGTCCAAGTGTATCTCCCTCTACGAACCACTTAAGATCATCTGGGAGGCCCTGCTCTCAGTCCTGCCACCATCACAGTTGCGTTTGGCAGGGACAAGAGAGAGGGCCTTCTCCGTGGTGGCCCCTTGGCTGTAGAATTCCCTCCCTAACGAAATCAGATCTACTCCATCACTCCTGACCTTCCAGAAGAAATTGAAATACTGATTGTGGAATTAAGCATTTGCAGAATAGACTGATTTTCTGGCAAAGATGCTGTTTTGATTGACTATGATGGACTGTTTTTAGGATGATGACTTAAATTGGTGAACTGTTTTAATGTATTTTTATATCTGTTTTATTATAATATGTGTATTTCTGCTTGTTTTTACTTTGTTGTTGGCACTGTGCTCTGCTGGTTGGTAACCGCCCTGAGTCCCTCTGTGGAGGTTGAGGACAGGATACAAATGCCCTAAATAAATAAATAATCATGGGGAGGAGGCAGACCAGCAGTGAGAAGCATATTATTATTATTATTATTATTATTATTATTATTATTATTATTATTATTATTATTATTATTATTATTATTGCATGTGATAGGGACTTGCTTCAATGCCAGTTTCTCATGCAGTAAAGTCCCAAGATGCCCAATCATTTTAACATCCTTTCCTGGATTAAGGTTTGGTCTTAAGTTCTTGGATGACTTCCAAGAACTTTTCAACTCTAAACCTTATGATTCTGTGACATAAGTTCCTTGCTGTGTGGAATTCCGCTTTTGATAAAATAGCACAACATTGAAAAAAAAACTGCCCTTTTGTCTTTATAGGGCTGAGGAACATGGACCATTCGTGCGTTTGAATATTCTTCATAAAGTCACACTGTTAGTTATGAGTCCTGAAGGAGTAAAAGTATGTTCTATCAAGGCAATAATGTGATGTACATAAAAAGCTAACAAATCCCACTTTTGCAACTGAAATATATGGTGTCTATATATGTTCAACAAATGCTGGGTTTTCCTTCAATGTTTACTGTTTTTCACATGAAAACACTCCATGAACATTTCTCTTTTGTACTATTAAGTGGCTATGTGTTGATTTTGTTCAGAACCGTTCTAGGGGTTGGTTTTGTCTTTGGGACGACATCATGAAAAGGAACCCAATTGGCATGATGCACCACCAGTTTCTGCTTCAAACTATAGTCAGCCATTCATATCTTAAGGTTCTGCTTCCATGGATTCAACCATCCATGACATGATATAAGGGCAGCCATTTTATCACACCATTATATTTCATGGGACTTGATATTCATGGGACTCTCCATCCATCTGCCTCTGCCCCGGCCCATCTGCCAAATTTTAAAGCTCAATGTGGCCCCTGTGTCGTTGCCTGATATATATACATTTATTTATTTATTTATTTGCAGCATTTATCCCGCCTTTTTCTACGCCGGAGGGGACTCAAAGCGGCTTACAAGTAGGCAACCATATGGAACCATAGAATATGTACAATTACAAATATATAAATAGAGTTATAAAATACATTAAAACAGTTTAAAAACATATAAAACAATACATTCAGAGTAAATCACATGATCCATTAAATGTAGTCCAGCCGTTCCAGTTAGTCAGTGCATATCAATTCCATATGGTTCTATATCTCAAGTTCTCTAAACGCTTGTTCACAAAGCCAGGCTTTTACTTTCTTACAGAAGGTCAGGAGGGAGGGGGCTGATCTGATGTCCCTGGGGAGGGAATTCCACAGTTGGTGGGCCACCACTGAGAAGACCCTGTCTCTTGTCCCGCCAATTGCATCTGCAAGGTAGACGGGACCGAGAGCAAGGTCTCCCCAGATGATCTTAAACTCCGAGACAGTTCATAGGAGAAGATACATTCCGATACATTACATATAATATACAATATAATATATAAACATTACTTGGGGTTCCATGAGAAATGTTTTCTCCAAAAAGGACTCAGTGGCTGAAAAAGTTTGAGAATCCCTGCTTTATATGACATTGACTGAGATACCTCTAATGATTGTATTTGAATATTGAATGAAGTAAAGATCTAATTATAGGAGTACCTGATGTCAACGGAGTACCCAAAGGACCCACATATATATGGTCGTCTTTACCACATGTGTGGAGAAAGGTAGGTTTGCATAAAGGCATGTCATGTATGATGTGGGATAAAACATGGTGATAACAACCAAAACTGATAGTTTTCAGAAGGTGTTTTTTTGGGCCCTTCTACACAGGCCCTAAAGACCGTGCTAAGTAATGGTTTTACCTAAGGCATTCATACGATGCCTCAAATAAACCTATATTAATCTGGAGAAAACTGGGATATCCTAAGGTCCGGATCTCTGCCTTGTGAGGGCCCTGTGGGGATTGTCTCCAGGGACAACTTTGACAGTCCTGGAGATCAATCCCCACAGTGGATTGACAACTTTGACAGCCCTGGAGGTCAATCCCCACAGTGATCCTGGTTCTTTGGGCTTCTGGAGCCTGAAGGAATGGGATGGTGCTCTCAGCCTCTTCTCCCAACCCCTCATTTCCCCCTCAAAAACTTACCAGAGGGACCTGCTGACAGGGCAGATCTCTCTGGAGAGCACTCGTAAAAAGAATGGGTCAGGAGGAAGGGAAGGACTGACATTCTCATGCATCAGCAGAGCTGTCTGGAGGCCCCTCAGGTAAGTTTTTGAGTGAGGAAATGGGGGGCTGGAGGGTGGCTGGATGCCCTCCTTGGTCAGCCTTTGGGTCAACCCGGGACAGCATCTTGCCAACCCACCAGGGAAAGCCCAGAGTTTAGGTTTGAGAGGGGGACTAAATCCCAGGAGGAACTGGGTTAAAATAACCTAAATTCTTTCTGGGATTTAGGGCAGTGTAGAAGGGCCCTGAAACCCACCAGCAATACGTTAACATGAAATATAGGCTGCATCTACACTGTCACATAATCCAGTTTCTGAATCCAGATTATCCGCTTTGAACTGGATTACATGAGGCTACACTGCCACATAATCCAGTTCAAAGCTAATAACCTAGAATCAGAAACTGAATTATATTGCTGTGTAGATGAGGCCATAGTTAGCTTAATTCAAATATTGGTCTTTGAGAGTACAAGGTGAAAGGGAGAAAAATCAAAATAATAAATGCTATCAAAATGACTAGAACTAGAATTGCTAGTGTGAAAACTGGAGATGGTTCCTGTACGTCTAATGCTTATTTAGAAAAATAAATTTCAGCAGGTGCTTGTTGTCTGGTGGTGTTTTGGACAACCATTAAAGATATTTATTTATTTATTTATTTATTTGCTGTATTTGTATACGGCCTTTCTCAACCCACAGGTTTGTGCGTGAATTTTGTTCTTTTTACCCATCATGGCCTGAAAGGGCTGTACCCATGTGAACACAGTTGAAATAGTTAAGATTAACTAGCAGGCCATTAACTATGGTCTCAAGCAAAGCGTGAACTTATGCAGCCAACCAGATGTTGTAGGACTTTAAGTCTCAGCATTCTTCACCTTGGCAGTGTTGGCTTTGAGGAACTCAGTAATTTCTTTAGAGAGGGTATTCCAGAGCCAGGGAGCCACCACCAAGAAGGCCCTCTCTCTTGTTCCCACCAACCGTAATTGAGACGATGGTGGGACTGAGAGAAGGACCTCCCTAGCAGATCTTAATGCCTATGCAGGTTCGTAGAAGGAGATGCGGTCTCAAAGATAGACCTTTATAGGTAATCACCTGTGCTTTGATTTGGGCCTGGGAACCTATCAGGAACCAGTGGAGCTGCTTTAAAAGGGGGCTGGTATGCTCCCTAAAGGATGCGCCAGTAAATAATCTGGCTGCAGTAGCTGCAGTTTCCAAGTCGTCTGCAAAGGCACCCCCAGGTAGAGTGCATTATAATAGTCCATTCTGGATGTAAGTCAGACATGGACCACCATAGCCAAGTCAAGCTTTTTGAGGTACAGTTGTAGCTGGTGCACAAGTTTTAAGTGTGCAAAGGCCTTCACCACTGACAACTTATCTAATGTTGACATTTCTGGCTTCTCTGATTGACCTTAAAGGCCTGCACTTTCTGAGTCAGATTTCTCACAGAGAGGAGCATAATTCTCTTGACTTGAATCTTCATCACTTTGAGTCCCAGAAAATTCCACAGACAATCCCATAATCCTCTCTAAATCATCAGTGAACCCATCTGCCTCAAGAGCCTTAGGCTGATCTACAACATTTGCCTTCCTCTTTGGATGATGGGTTTGTCCAAGATCTGGTGATCATCAGAATATGAAAGCTGAAGTGAACTCATCCATTTTCTGCTTACCTTTTGCAGATTTCTAGGGTCTGGCTTAACTGCTTCTCTTGATCATGACCATTGGATTAAGCAGCGGAAAATTATGGGCCCAGCTTTCTCAAAGAGGTAAGGCCAAAATAGATGTTTAGAGCCCTCCAGAGTTAAATTGCATTTTATTAAAAAAAATTACGAAAAACCGAGTAACACCCCCCCCCCCCCGCCAGACAAAAGGGGAATCATATGAGGAGTATGTATTATATTTGTACTGCGAGAAGTATGGATAAAAGAGAAGAGCAGTAAGACATCTGGAGCCTTATCTCCTTCAAAAGACTTTTATATTTTCACATATAATACATGATATGTCATTTTTTTCAATATTTGTGTATGTGATCTGTTGGAATATGAAAGCTATATGTGTGTATATGACAGCTAATCACCTCTCAACAAAAGATTCCCCCAGGCACTAACAAGCCACACCAAAAAACTACCAGGCCATCAAATGCTAATCGAGGTGACCAACTGAAACATTCACACATACCTCCAACAGACAAGAGTTCCTTCTCCCACCCTGGACTTTCCATAGATATATAAACCCCATTTTCCTAGTTCCAATAGACCTCATAACCTCTGAGGATGCTTGCCATAGATGCAGGTGAAATGTCAGGAAAGAATGCTTCTGGAACATGGCCATATAGCCCGAAAAACCTACAGCAACCTGAGTTCATTTTGTTTACAGTAGATAAAATTGCCAAATAATAATACCCCACTTGTAAGTCTTATCATTCATAAACTCACATTTACACTCAAGACAGTCTCTTTTCTGAACATAAGAACATCATAAGAACATCCCCGATAATGTTTATTAATTCCCCAGCTACATCCAAGGTTTGATAGGAACCTTTAATGATCAAGCCGAAGAACTAATGAAGAAGATGGAAAAACAAGCAGATGGAAAAACCAAAGTGGATGTGATGAACCTGCTGAGGCGAATAACCCTGGACATTATTGCAAAGGTAGTGAATTTCTTTTAGATGACAGAAGAACAGTAAGTGCCACTGGGGTGCAAATAGGGAACATCAGAGCATTGTGAGAAATTATAAAAATTGGAGAAGTCTTGAAGGGAAAAAAAGGTCTAATTAAGCACTCCTTCACATATTCTTAGTGAAGACTCATTCAATGACCATAGAATACATAGTGAACACTGGGAGAAAAATGCAAAGTGGGGAATTGAGAAGAGGCTGGAGACAGACTGAACAAGAGCTCTCCCTTCTGCAACACGTCTCCACAGTCCTCTTAATGATCTCAAGGGGTGAGAAACAGCTTAGTATAGTGATCTGAACATTGGACGAGGACCCCAGGAGAAAAGAGTTCAAATCCCTACACAGTCATGGAAACCCACTGGGTGACCATCTGGGCATCAAACTGGTTCCAGGTTTTCCTATGTAATTATTTGCAGAACGAAACTACTTTGATACCTGTTTGTGATGTGCTCTCTCTCTCACACACACATACACACACACCCTTCCATATTTGACAGATCTTTTTTTAATGTTATCAGGTGGCTTTTGGCTTAGAACTGGAGACTCTACATAATGATCAGACACCTTTTCCACATGCCATGAACATGGTCACAGAAGGACTGAAGAATGTACGTGTTCCTTTCTTTCAGGTGAGAGCATGTCATTCTAATGCAAACTTTTCCCCTTTACCATCGAAAGCTGAACATATTGCTGGTCAAACTTATTCAGACAGCACTTTGCAAAAGCTTGGAATCAGATGATAGCTCCTGTCCCATTATTGGTTCTCTGGAAGTGGGAATTTCAGCAGGGGTTGTTTGTTACTTGGTTGTGTGACAAGCAAGACTGGCTGAAATTCCCTTTTCTACAGAAGGACACTCTGGTTTTCAATCCAGCAACTCTTATCAGGAGTGCTAATAAATTCCAAAAACTCTTGAATTGTGGGTCTATAGCCAGTTGTTAGTTCCAGCTTGAGTAGACCCACTGAATTAACAGAATTTATATATCATGTATGCGTATGTATAAGTCTAGACATTTTAGTAAAAAAAAAGAAAGAAATCAGCTGCTCAAAACTGGGTTAACATATCTATAGGTCAATGTAAGCAATTTACCTTAACTCTTGTTTTTCTAAAAAGGAAGCATTCTCTTCTATGTGTAGAGTAGTATTTAGTTCATCCAGGGCACCAGCAATCTTTGCCCGAGAAGACAAACAACCTTGTAAAATAACTCCACAACACTGAATCATGACAGTTAAAGTGGGTCAAACCACAGTAATTTTACAATGTAGATTCACATTCTGCGATTGGTGATAAGAAACTATTTCAAGTTTGAGAACAGAATACTAGGTAACTGTATGTCAAAGCCTGGGACATTGTTGTGACTGGAACTGAGTTGTGCTGCATAGTGTGAGAAGAGGTTACACCGGGGATGGCTCCTAACAGAAATTCATAGAATGGAACTACAGTTTGTATGACTGGTATGGGAAAGTCTAGCTTCATTCTGTCTAACCAGACCTTGTCACGTGCCCCAGAACTGACAACATATACTATCTGTTTAGTATCTGCCTTGGAATAGAAAAATTGTGAAAGAGATTCAAGAAAGTGTGAGGCTGCTGCGTCGTACAGGAAAGGAATGTATCGAACAAAGGCAAAAGGCCATGCAGAATGCAAAAGAGGTCCCCTTAGATGTCCTCACTCAGATACTGAAGACAGCAGGTAAGGAAAAAAGTTTCTATGTTCAGGCTGTGTATCTCATATCCAAAAGGCTTGGGACCAGAATTGTTTTGGATTTCAGATTATTTTCGGACTTTGCATTTACCTACATAATGAGCTATCTTGGAGATGGGAATGAAGGACCTTGTCACATTGACATTCTTGATGTGGGGAAAAGTGGGGGGGGGGAGGGCAGAGAGGCAAATTGTAGGGCAGTGAGGTGAATCTGTCACCCGGGGTCCCGTATTGTCTGCATCACCTGTTTGCCCAATTCACTCTGAAAAGCATAGCTTTCCATTGTTGCCCCCATTATTCCTAAAATGAACACAGGCAATCTCCTGTGTTCAGGTTTCCCCCTCCTACCATACTTCCTTCAAGCAGCCGATGGCAAATCCCACCAGATATAGTTGTTCGTCATGGAATGAGATCCAGCGGGTGCCATGTCAACTGCATGGAGGATGGGGATTTTAACTAATGTGATGAGGTCCTAAGTCTAAACACAAAATTTAACTATATTTCAAATATACCCTATGCACATAACCTGAAGGGATGCAAATGGGAAACATAGCATTTTGATTAAACTTTAGCTTTGTCAAAATATCTGTTATTTTACCAGAAGAAGAAACCTCTCTGCTATTAGGGGTGGTAATATAAAATATTGGACATCACATTGATGGAAATCACAGGGTTCATAAGAAGGATGAGAATAACATTGTCAGAATAGCCATATTACACCTCAGATGTATGACTCTAAGGACTTCATCACAAAAGAGCAGTGTTTCTCAAATGGTGCTCTTTCAGGTGTTTTGGACTTCAGCTCGCAGAAATCCCAGCAAGCTTACCAGCTGTTAGAAATTGTGGGAACTCAAGTCCAAAACTCTGCACTAGAGCACCTTTCTACTTTAAATTTGATTGCTGTCTCCTGCAGAATTCTGGGGTTCATAGTTTATGGGGGCGGGGCTTTAAACTTCTCAGTCAGAGAGGTCCTGGGCCTCACCAGAATTCTGCAATAGTGTGATGAAGTCCTAAATGACTCTCAATCCCAACTACTGGAGAATATGAGCAGGAAGGTGCTGCTGTTTGTAGGTTTGTTCTGTTTGGAATTAGAAGATTTGTGTGGATGTAATGTGCGGCTACAGATGCTTTTCTTATGTTCTTGACATTGCACTGTTTTCTGTCTTTATAGCTGAAGAAGAGGAGTCTGATATGGAAAGTATGCTGGACAATTTTGTCAACTTCTTCTATGCAGGTTTGTGGGTAGTTTACTCTTTAAAAATACTACTGTGCTTTTGAGATAAAAGTAGTCAGTTAGTACTTCTTTCCCAAGTGCTTTCCTAACAGAACAAGCAGGTTTCAGTTGCTACATTGGAGGTGGTCCACTAGAGAAAGTCTAGGGGGCAATTTTCTGTCCCTGGGACCCTCTACAAACTTCATAAACTGCTCAAAATACAAAAAAAGGAGTGACTTGGCTTGGCTTTAGCACAACAAGGCCAGGATTTAGGACTGCAGGTTAATTGCCAGCTACAGTAAATCCTGCTAATTGGAAGGCTGGCGGTTTGAAGCCTGAGTCAGGGGGGGCTCCTGGCCTTCAGCCCAACTCCTGCCAACCTAGCAGATCAAAAACAGCAATTGTGAGTAGATAAATAGGTATCGCTTTAAAAGTGGGGAGGTGTTTAGGCACCCTTAAGGAAAATGCCAGATACGATCAAGGAGGAACGTTTACGAACAAAAGCTTTTCAGCAGGAAAGATAGAGCAACAGCATCCCCCTTTGGCTGGAACTGAGCACAGCCTCCAAGATGCTGAAGATGGGAAAAGCTTATATATACCTCTATCTATGTACAAGTTGTCTTTCTTGTCATGTATAATCAACATTGAATGTTTCCCCTATCTGTGTTCTGTGATCTGCTCTGAGTCCCCTTCGGGGTGAGAAGGGTGGAATATAGATATTGTAAATAAATACATGCATACATTTGAAGCTAAATAGAATGGGGGATAATGCCCCTTTATGTCAGAGCTATCCAGGAAATTGAAGAGGTGAAGGACAGCAAACCCAGCCTTGAGGACTGCATGCAGACCTAGGACCTCACTTTGCCAAGCCTTTGCTAGATTAAATTGAATTGTTTCTTCCAGCTAGCCAGCACAGTATAATGGATTGAGCATTGGACTTGGAATTGGGGAGACTTTGGTCTGAAGCCCCACTCAGCCAGTGAGTTATCTTGGGCAAGTTACACTCTCTGAGAGACAGAGAGGAAAGCAATGTCAAACTTCATCCAAGAAACCTAGCCAAAAGAAAATCCCTAGGATAGATTTGTCATAGATCAGAGTTAACTTGAGGCTCAAAAGAACAATAGCCGTAGCAACTAGCAATTGTGTTTCAAAGGAGTTGGGTTGTTATTGTGCCAGGGAGGCAGTGACTTCCTCCCTTTGCAATAACTAATTTTAAAGTGAATTTGTTTCTTCAATAAAACTGTCAACATATGTTTCTGTATTCTCTGTCCTGCAGGTCATGAAACAACTACTAACCAGTTAGCTTTTACCATAATGGAACTGGGACGACACCCCGAGATAGTTGCAAAGTAAGTAAGCCATATTTGCCATGAGATAACAAATTCCCTTATAACAAAACCAAAAATGAAGCCAATAGCATGAAAAGCTTGATAGTTTCTATAATGGCATCTCAAAGCTGTGGAACAATCAAAATTATGTTTTGTTCAATGTTGATCTGGAAATTACACTACTAAATTTCTTTAGTATTGGGAATATCGTTGTGAAAATAAAGATGCATTGCATGGTCATATATAAAAAATGTGCTGTTGGGTAGATCATACAAACCCTATTCTGTATCAATATTAGATGTATTCTGATGTGTTGGTGTTTAGCAAGTATTGGCTTATGATCACAGAATACATGGACTGAGCCAGGAACATAGGAATATTTTTAGAACATAAGTAAATGAAACTGCGGGTTTCAAATCCATCGATATTATATTGATTTTTAGGCATTTGATTGTATTTCGTTATGTGTTTTATTGTTTTGGCATTGAATTGTTGCCTGTTGGTAGCTGTTCTGAGTCCCTCCTTGGAGGTCAAGAAAGGATGGGGTATAAATGTTCCAAATAAATAAATAAAGGGGTCATACTGTATAAAAATTGTCCTTGCAGAATAAATGATCACTAGGCACTTGACTAAATTTGCTTTTGTTTCTGCATTGTAGACTTCAGGCTGAAGTGGATGATGTCATTGGTGTGAAGAAAAACATTGCCTATGAAGATATTAGGAAACTCAAATACTTATCACAGGTATAGTTCTGAACACCCCATGCTAATCCAGCTGATAAAAAAAATATAATTTGGTTTCCAAATAAAACTTAAAAGTATCATGGTTGTCATAGGTTTAAGCAGAGACTACCCAACACGCTATGTGAATAATATTATATGATCCCTGTGATGGTATTGCAAGAACTGTAAATTGTTGGCCAAAATCTCAGCAGTCATGTTATCAAGTCATATACCTTTTTAAAAAATTGTTGATAAATCAAACCATACAATTCGCCATTCTGGACACAAGGTGGCAGGAAAGGTGTAACAAATGTATATACAATGACTCCACTAAGACTGAAAAATCCACTAATCTGAAGACCACTGTGAAGTTATTGCATGAATTACAATAGAGTTTTTACTCGGACCAATAGTGAAGGCTGTTTTTCTTTCTTTTTCATTATTGCAAGGAAACTGTTGCAGTTTATCATTATCAAACAATGATACTAATATTTGTTGATATTTTAAAACACATTTTCTTGAAAAAGATATGTATGAATGAATATATTTTATATTAGGTTTTGGAAAGCATTCATATATGCTTTCCGGAATGGCTTCCAAGCATCACAACATTCAAAAACATGCAATCTGGAGCATTTCAACCCACCACATGAAAATGAACAATCATTGCTCAACAATCTGCAAATGTCTTCCTGCATTCCCAGCTATACTGCATCTCTTTTTCAAAGCCAAATCCAACCTAAACATTCCATAACAGTGTATTTTAATATTGAAACAAATGTTTTTAATGCTAATGTGTAATGAATTCATGTCCTGGCATTGAATATTTGCCGTATATATGCTGTGCTGCACCCTGAGTCCCCTTCGGGGTGAGAAGGGCAGAATATAAATGTTTTAAATAAATAAATATACAGAAACCTCCAGTCAACCCACTCACAACATGCCTTGCTTGTTAAAGGTTCTGGCCCAACTTACCTGTCCGAATGTATCTCCTCCTATGAACCAGCTAGGACATTAAGATCGTCTGGGGAGGCCCTGCTCTCGATCCCATCTGCGTCACAAATATGTTTGGTGGGACAAGAGACAGGGCCTTCTCAGTGGTGGCCCCTTGGCTATGGAACTCCCTTCCCAGAGATATTACTACACTGTGCGAAATCCATTTTCACTCTTTCAGGTTCTCAAGGAAGCCCTGCGGTTGTACCCACCAGCGACAGCCACTTTGCGTTGGACAGAAAAGGAAAACATAATTGAGGGAGTCAGAATTCCAGCAAACACCTCGCTGACTGTGAGTCTATGGGATGGGCTAGCTGAAACATCTTGACAGTTTTTTCCTGAACAATCTCCCTCAATACATCTAGGAACCTTAAGTGGTGATCATCTAATGCTAGAATACCACTATTTTGATTGGTGTTATTTTTTTTATGATGCTAGGTTTTAAAATGAGCAATTTGGCTGTTCTTTTTATTCATGGCAGGTTTTTAGTATCATAAATATTTCATCTTATGTGTGTCCCCTTAAATACCACAGCAGCGGGGCAGGTAAGAGGTATGACAGATGGTAATGGTAAAAGAAGTTTTGCATATGAAGGCAGTCCCCGAGTTACAAACATCCGACTTACAAACACCTCCTAGCAGGGGTGAGATAATGGGAAGTGAGAGAAATCCACCCCTAGATAGGGAAGTTCACTCCCAGGAGGGTTATTATGGGTCAAAGGTGTCTTCACAGAACCTTTATCATCAATCCTTATTTCTACAGCAAGCCAAATTTTAAAAAATCCAATTATCACAGGGACAGAAAGTGAGGTGAAATCTTTCACAAAGATGTTAAACCACCATTATGCTATCCATAACATGCATAAAAAGATAAAAGTTTCCCCTGACATTAAGTCTAGTTGTGTCCAACTCTGGGGGATGGTGCTCATCTCTATTTCTAAGCCGAAGAGCCGGCATTGTCCATTGACATCTCTAAGGTGACATGGCCAGCATGATTGCATGGAGCACCATTACCTTTCCACTGAAGTGGTACCTATTGATCTACTCACATTTGCATGTTTTCGAACTACTAGGTTGGCAGAAGCTGGGCCTAACAGCGGGAGCTCACCTAATTCCCCAGATTTGAACAGCCAACCTTTCAGTCAGCAAGTTCAGCAGCTCAGCGGTTTAATCCATTGTGCCACCAGGAGGTGCTGCATGTATATATGGAGTTGCAGTTTTAAAAAGTGCTTGTTCAAATTCAACTTGTGAACAAACCTACAGAACCTATCTTGTTTGTAACTTGGGGATTGCCAATTATTAGCTCACCCACCTTAAGTAAACTAGAACGTTTCCCTTACTATTTTCCTGTTAATGTATTTGGCCAATGCACAGAAAAAATCTGCATGACCATTGGGAATATAGCATGCATTCTCTTGAAGTCCGTGAAGTGAGTATTTCTCCTAAATACTGAGTTAATTATTTTAAATTTATTTTTGATTTGAATAATAATACTTTTTATTCAGATGTATTGAAAATATTTTTTGTAATTCAGTTGGCAACGATTGGCTTAAGAATGCTTGGAGGAGGATATCAAAATCAATTTAAAACAATGACAGCCACTGAAATTACCTGTATTGAAACTGTATTATGTGATCAGTGAAGATTCATATTATGCAGCTCAATCTAGTTAAATTGCATTGTATGAGTCTACATAGCCTGTATAACTGCATAGGACAATTGATAATAGGTTCTTGTGGGTTTTTTCGGGCTATAGAGCCATGTTCTAGAGGCATTTCTCCTGACGTTTCGCCTGAATCTATGGCAAGCTTCCTCGGAGGAAGCTTGCCATAGATGCACGCGAAACGTCAGGAGAAATGCCTCTAGAACATGGCTCTATAGCCCGAAAAAACCCACAAGAACCTAGTGATTCCAGCCATGAAAGCCTTCGACAATACAATTGATAATGTTTGACTCTAGCTTGGAAGTGGATTTGGATAAGTTAAGCGGAATACTCAACAATATATGGCTAGTTAAATAGCCACCAGATTGGTAATAACTCAATGGAATGTAAGTATAGTGTTTAAAAATTTTTATGTCTCAATATCATGTTTTTAATTGTTATAATTGCTGTTTGTATTTTATGATGCGGCATTGAATTGCTGCCAATTGGAAGCCACCCTGAGTCCCCCTAGGGGTTGAGAAGGGTGGGGTAAAAATGTTTGAAATAAATAAAAAAAATATACTGCACTGACTTTATAATTCAGTTTCAAATTGCGTTATATGGAGGTGTAGGTGGAGCCTTTGAGAAAGCATGAACTTTTATACCCTTAGGTGTCTACACTGTAGAATTAATGCAGTTTATCACCACTTTAATGCAGTTTATCACCGCTTTAATGCAGTAAAATAATGGGAGATGTAGATTGCTAAGGCACACTTTGGCAGAGACGGCTAAAGACATCGCATAACTCCAAATCCCATAAGTCCATAGCATTGAGCCATGTCAGTTGAAGTGGTGTCTAACTGCAATAATTCACCAGAATAGATGGGCCTTTAGTTGTCATCTTCAGAGGCTGATGAAAGCTTAAACACTATAGGATTTTCTCTCTATCTCAAAGGCACTATAAGATCTCTTTGCATAATGATATTCCAGACTAACGTGGCTATGCCTTTGAATTCTACCCTATTTAGGACCATTATATTATCTTTTCTCTTGGCAGTTCTGCATGTATATCATGGGACGCTTGGATAAGTTTTTCAAAGACCCTCTCGTCTTCGATCCCGACCGATTTAGGAAAGACCAACCAAAGTAAGTATGCTGCAAAAGCTATAATGCTATGGTTTTAACAACATTTCTATAGCGGTTTGATTATTGAACTAGAGATCTGGAAATCATCCCCTTCTTTGGCAACCCTCTGGATGACCATGGGCAAATCACACTCTCTCGGGCCAAGAGGAAGGTAATGGCAAACCTCCTCTTAAGAAATCTTGCAAAGCAAATCCTCTGGTAGGGTTGCCGTTAAGTCAGAATTGACTCAAAATCATATACAAAAAACCAAAATAATTTTCTGCTGAATGCCTGTTGACATTTACTACTAATTCATAGAATTAGTAGAAGCTCAAGGGGGGAAATATCAGAAATTATTGTGATATATTATGAGGTTTGTAAATTATTCAATTTGAATATTTACAGAAAGTGCCTAGTTGTCTTTTATATTTAGTGTTACCTGTTTGGCTTTTCTGACATTTCTTCACTGTTTGTTGTATGTTAAGAATTGCCCGTAAATGCCAACATTTTGCAAATCCTACCTTTATTACTTTTTGGTAAGAGAGAGAAAGAAAACACTCCTAGTCCTTCCCTATGTTTTCTATTGCATTTTGCCTGGACAGATTTATATATGGAGTTCTTCCTAATGCAGAAATAAGCATTGCCACTTTGGTCTTTTAAAAATTGAGAACTGATGGCAAACCTCTTCAGAACATCCATCTGTTTTAGGAACAAGTGGATTGGATTTTAACCCAAGCCATCTAAATGATTGCTTTCTATCTTGATTTTTTTTAAGGCCATACTTTACCTATTTTCCATTTTCCCTGGGACATCGTTCCTGCATTGGGCAGAGATTTGCAGAGGTAAGCAAAGCTATTACCCTTCAAGTTGTCAAATATTTCCTTAAAATTAAAAGGAATTGCTAGGAGCTATATACTTGTCTGGGAGGGGTATCCTTAATTTTTGACGAATTGGGATATCCCTTAGCCGAAATGCTTGGGACCAGAAGTGCTTTGGTTTTCATATTTGTGGGACCTTTGGAGTGCCTGTATTTGCATATACGTTGTTGTTGTTTATTCGTTCAACTCTTCGTGACCTCATGGACCAGCCCACGACAGATCTCCCTGTCAGCTGTGGCCACAACTGTCGGCCCCTCTTCCTTTTTCCTTCCATTTTCCCCAGCATCATTCTCTTCTCCAAGCTTTCCTGTCTTCACATTATGTGGACAAAGTACTTCATCTTTGCCTCTAATATCCTTCCCTCCAATGAGCAGTCGGGCTTTATTTCCTAGAGTATGGACTGGTTGGATCTTCTTGCTGTCCAAGGCACTCTCAGAACTTTCCTCCAAGATCACAGTTCAAAAGCATCTTATCTTCCTTTGCTCAGCCTTCCTAATGATCCAGCTCTTGCATACATAGGTTACTACAGGGAATACCATTGCTTTAACTATGTGAATCTTCCTTGCCAGTGTGATGTCTCTACTCTTCACTATTTTATCAAGATTGGTCATTGCCCTCCTCCCAAGCAGTAAACATCTTCTGATTTCCTGGCTGTAGTCTGAGTCTGCAGTAATCTTTTTTTGCCAGTTATCAATCAGTCTGGTTACCATAATCCTGGGTTTTTTTATGTTTAACTGCAACCCAGCTTTTGCACTTTCTTCTTGCATATACGTACATAATGAGATATCTTGTCTAAACACACAATTAATCTATGTTCCACATACTCTTTATACACATAGCTTGAAGGTAATTTAATACAATAGTTTAAATAATGTTGTGCATGAAACATAGTTTGTGTGCACTGAACCATTGGAAGGGAAAAGTGTCACTGTCTCAACCCCCTATCCAGCTGTCATATAATATAGTTCAGTGCTGGTAAAGTCTATTAAGAAACTCTGTAATATTTCAGTGTAACTGGGGACCATACAGAAATTTGTATGACCTCTAGAGCTCAGCATAATTCACTGATAATTTTGTAGACCACATAGGAGTTTCTGGTGGCACAGCAGGTTAAACCACTGAGCTGCTGAACTTGTTGACTGAAAGGTTAGCGGTTTGAATCCAGGGAGCAGGGTGACCTCCCGCTGTTAGCCCCAGCTTCTGCCAACCTAGCAGTTCGAAAACATGCAAGTGTGAGTGGATCAGTAGGCACCGCTCTGGCGGGAAGGTAACGGCGCTCCATGCAGTCATGCCAGCCACATGACATTGGAGGCATCTACAGACATCTCAACCTTTTCAGCTTAGAAATTGAGATGAGCACCCCCCCCCCCCCAGAGTTGGACATGACTAGACTTAACATCAAGGGGAAACCTTTACCTTTACCTATATGAGAAATATCACTTTTGTTATAACCTGTTAGGGGGGTATCACAGATGTAAAGATATGGATTTAGAAAGGTTGAACACAAAGGGAGCACATCAGGAACAGATAATACTGATATAGAGTTACCATATGCCCTCTTTCTCATTGATGCATCCTCTGTTTCACAGCTGAAAATTATTTCCAGGTGTTTGTTTTTTTACATGTTCATTGCTGCTTTACCTCCTCCTCATTGACACAGCTTCCTCATTCCTGTCTTGTTGTCAATGTCAAGAATTCTACTGGGAGAAGACATAGTGGTTAGCCAAGCGGGGCATTCATAGGCCAAGAGACAGCATTTCAAGGATTGGAGGAGAGGACCCAGAGGGGAAAGACAAGCTGGCCAAGCGAGTAGCTAAGATACTCTTTGGCCACTTGGATGCAACAAAAAGGGTAGCTTGGAGCAGGTGAAGCAACTGTCAGAAGAGGCAGGGAAGAAGGAAAAGGAAATAATTAATTGTTATTTAATTATAGTGAAGTTTAGGCATATGTCTGGTAGCAGTTACCCTGCTTTTTAACATTGTTTTATTAGATTGGAATATGCTATTATGTTTTTAACTGTGTTTTAGTTGTTAAACTTCGTTATTCACTGAACTTGGTCCCACATGTAAACCACTCTGAGTCCCTTCGGGGAGATGGTGGCAGGGTATAAAAATAAAGTTATTATTATTACTAGCCGTCCCCTGCCAAGTGTTGCTGTGGCCCAGTCTGTGTATATGTGTCTTGTGTGTGTATATATGTGTATATGTGTGTGTATATGTGGTTACACATGTGGTTAACCCACTGTCCCGGTGGCACAGTGGGTTAAACCTCTGAGCTGCTAAACTTGCTAACTGAAAAGTCACAGGTTCGAATCTGGAGAGCAATATGAGCTCCCCCTGTTAGCCCCAGCTTCTGCCAACCTAGCAATTTGAAAATATACAAATGTGGGTAGATCAATAGCTACCTCTCCGGCGGGAAGGTAATGGTGCTCCATGCAGTCATGCCGGTCACATAACTTGGGAGGTGTCTATGGACAATGCTGGCTTAGAAATGGAGATGAGCACCAACCCCCAGAGTCGGATACGACTGGACTTAATGTCAGGGGAACAATGTGGTCATGTGTATGCGTTATAATGTATATATATTTTTTAAAAATTGGCTTTTAAAGTCTCTTCCACTCCATTTTTTAGTGTTTTTATGAGTGATGGACACTCGTTGGCCTGATAGGCATACTGTGTCCAAATTCCATGTCAATTCGCTCAGTGGTTTTTGAGTTATGTTAGTCCCACAAACGAACATTACATTTTTATTTATATAGATTGTTATTATTATTGCCACAATTTATATCATACGGCTATTGAAAGCGGGATTCATCAAAGGGTGCATCTACACCAGGCATAGGCAAACTTCGACCCTCCGGGTGTTTTGGACTTCAACTCCCAAAATTCCTAACAGCCGGTAGGCTGGTACGAATTGTGGTAGTTGAAGTCCAAAACACCTGGATGGCCAACGTTTGCCCATTCCTGGTCTACACTAGAATGAATGCACTTTGAAATCACTTTTATGGCCCAATGCTTTGGAATCATGGGATTTTTTAAACAAAGACTTTAGTGCTCTCTGCCAAAAAGTCCTGGTGTCTCACCAAACCAGAGCTTCCAGGACTCCATAGCACCAAGCCAGAGCAGTTATCTACAGTTGTTTAACCTTCTGCAAATGTTTAAGTATAGAGATGCCTCTAGAAATAATGCTAGTCTATACAGATGTATAATGTTATTTAAGAGGGTAACATCTTGCAAATGCAGTTAAAATTGTGTAAATTGAATTAATGCCACAGTGTAGATACACCCATAGTGATGAGTGACTTGAAGTACTCTCTCAATAAATGTGTTTTTTTCCCTTTTGCTGTGAAAAATATGATAATCCTAGATGGCTATAACTTAATTGACAAGTTAAATAAAAAAAACTCAGTGATAAGCAAGACATTTTAGGAAAGAAATAAAGATGATAGATGTTCATAAATATAACAACAACAACAACTTTATTTATCCCCCACCATCTCCCAGAGGGACGTGGGGTGGCTCACAAAGCACTAAAAGGTACAAATACACAATATACAAAAAGTGCAAAGACAACAACACAGAGCAACAACAATTCCTTGGATGCCCTAATTAATACCAATCCAATAGATGTTACTGTGGAAATCTAGAACTTGCACCCACTGAATTCAATGAGATTTACTTCCCGGTTATATGGTTGTAGCCTATGGAGCAGAAAGAAAGGGATAAATGCCACAACATCTTGACAAGTGGAACAGATTGAAGTGACAGATCAAATTCACTATACAACTCTTCAACCTCCTTCTCCCTAAGTGCTCTTTGGGATTGGGGGAGCCTTCAGAACAGACATAAAATGGGGACTATAGCTAGGAATAAGGGAGGAGAGTAAATATTTACTTACTTAAATCTTAATCATGAATAGAAATTAGTCGCTTAAGGGTCTCATCCAAGAGGATGAGACTACTTAAAGGAGAAACAAATATTCATGTTTAAACTGGTTTCAGAAAGTTTGAGAGTTCAATGTCTTATTATCACTAGATGGAGAACTAAAATGAAGATATATAAAATATATAATATATAAGGATATTTTATCTAAAGTTGGTGCCTTATCTCTTTTAGGTCAAAATGGCTAGAACTGATTAACCCTTTTGTTTGTGTTTTTATGGCAGATGGAGGCCAAAGTGGTGATGGCCAAATTTCTGCAGAGGTTTGACTTCCAGCTGGTTCCACCACAGAGCTTTAAAGTTTTGGATGCGGGAACGTTGAGGCCGTTAGATGAGATTGTATGCCAATTAAAGCCACGCCACCACCTGTCTGGTTATGAAGAGTAAACAAAACACTGAGTTCGATGAGTGTTGTGGTTCCTTCTGGAATATTTTTAAAAGCAATTTCTTTTAATGTTGTTTAAATTACCTTTAATTGCCATATGAACAACATTAATAATACCTTGGAATGTATGTATTTATCAATACTAATAGGACAGCAATTTTCATTTTGTGCCAAAATTAACACACACACAAATCTCTCAGCCATACATTTATTAGACTACATGTGCATCAACATATTAGACTACATGTGCATCAACATGGAGTTAATGCAGTTTGATACCACTATAACTACCATAGTTCAGTGCTATAAAATCATGGAAGCTGTAATTTGGTGATACATTGCACTCTATGGCAGAGAACTCTAAAGACCTTATTATTATTATTATTATTATTATTAACTTTATTTGTACCCCGCTAGCATCTCCCGAAGGACTCGATGCGGCTTACACAGGCCGAAGCCACAAAACACAATATAATAGAAACAGACATCACAAAAGCAGAACAAATCAAACAATAGCAAAATAACAACAATAGCAGTACATCAAGACATTATTAAAACTGGTTCGGCCGGCGCACTGGGTACAAGGGATTAAAAGACCTTGTGAAACTCCACGCCCTATGATTCCATAGCATTAAGTCATGTCATTTAAAGTGATGTCAAACTGCATTAATTGTACAGTATAGATGCATGCTAAGACAGGTAGAATAAATTACCTGAATATGATGTATCTTTTGTGGGTTCTGTTGAACCAATAATAAATTAATATGATTAATTGTGACTAATAATCACAAGCAGGTTGCCCTGCTTCATATATGTTGGAAATAGCAACTTTCTACAAGCCTCCTACACTAGTTATTTGTTATGTATATAATTCAGAATGCTTACTGTATTGTATATGTGTGTATTGGTATGCAGTTTTCCTTATCTCTATGTTGTGGGTGGGGCTGCAGACCAGATCTGGGATTGTTCAGACTCAGACTCCTTTTTAGAAACAGTACAGTTTAGATGCAAGTAAATACAGTTTTCTTTTAGAAGTCTGTTGAAACAGAATGCTTTAGAGAAGAGAGACTATTCGACTCTCAGACCAGAGAGATGCTTTAGACTTTGGACTGTTAAGATGCTAAGAAAGATGCCCTGTGTTACCTGCACAGAGAAACTACTTCAAAACCTATCTGTAATTGGATTGATATGCAATGTACCTTTATGGTGAATAAATGAAGTTTGTGGGTAAACCAACTATGTTACTTTTAAAGAAGTCTGCTTATTTTTGGTCTCTTGAGGGCATGATTTAAACCAAGATGTTCTTAAGGAGAACAGATTTTTGGGGGGTAATTGAAATAACACTTCTGAAATTCTGCTATATATGTGTTTTTGTGCATTGGCGTATCTTTGTTCCTAACAGTTCAAAGATATATCTAGGTTTATCAGTCTAACAGCTGAGAAACCTAATTGCCTTGCATGGATGCTAGTGGATATTTACCACTAAGGAGAAGGTTGACTCAAGCAAGTTTTTAACCTTTCCAAAAGATTCCTGGTTTTCCCAAATGTTTCTGAATATCCATTTTCCAAAAGGCATGCAAGTTACCAGGAAAAAAGAAAAGAGAGCGAGAGGAAATGAGGAAAGGGAATATTTGCCTAAACAATGCTTCTCCAAGAGTTGTTTTTTTGTCATAGAACAAGTAATATGAAAAGGCACTGAAGTGGAAGAGGAGAGAGAGACTGAGAATGACAAAGAAAGGGAAAAGGCGATAACTGTATTAAAATTTCCAGATAGAAGAAGTGTTGAGCTTTCACTCAAATAACTATCACCGCCCTCTAGTGCCTTAGATGCAGACGTGCACCTAGTTAGTTTATTTTACTTATTCCAATGGGTAAGAAATAGTACCACCAGAATAAGGCATGGAACAGCCAATTTTGTCAGAGACAAGCAACAAAAAATAGGATTGTTTCAAGATTATCAAGACAATACCACTGTACAGTTTGCCTCATTTATGTTCTCCAGGATGCTTGCTCTTCATCCAGAAAAGAAGTGACAAGCGGAGTGCCGCAGGCAGGCCTGTAGCCAGGATTTTGATTGGGGGGGGGGGCTGAGTTTGATTCGGGGGGGGGGGGCTGAGTCTGAGTGAAAGAGGGTCTACCCTAGCAAATTTTGTATCGTTACCCCAATACCCCCATGCATATGAGATATATTGAGCATGGTGATCAGATCATGATATGAATAAACATAACAGTTCAAATAATGTACCAGTAAGGCCTTTTCGCAGACCACCATGAGAATTTGGGGGGGGGGCTGAAGCCCCAAAGCCCCCCCCCCCCCCCCGCTACATGCCTGGCCGCAGGGTTCCGTCCTGGGCCCAGTCCTGTTCAACTTCTTTATTAATGACTTAGATCAATAGTTCTCAACCTGTGGGTCCCCAGATGTTTTGGCCTTCAACTCCCAGAAATCCCAACAGCTGGTAAACTGACTGGGATTTCTGGAAGATGTAGGCCAAAACACCTGGAGACCCACAGGTTGAGAAGCACTGACTTAGATGAAGGGTTAGAAGGCACGGTCATCAAATGTCAGGAGATAATGCTTCTGGACCATGGCTATACAGCCCAGAAAACTCACAGTAACCCTGTGATTCCGGTCATGAAAGCCTTCGACAACATATCATTAATTTGTTGTGAAAATTTAATAAAAATTAATTTTAAAAAGTCAGGATACACATGACCAAGCAAAACCATAATGCCGTCAAAATGTTGAAAAAGGGCAGACAGGTAAGGAAAAAGATTGCAGCAGTTTGCCTTTTCCTGAGCATACTGGGAAGGGCAACCCTTTGGCCCCTCTTCTCCTCTCCCCTCTGCTGAGTTAATGGAGTACAAATCACTGGCACTTTGGACTCAGATTGCAGCAAATAAACTGAGGACAAGTGGGAAATAAACAGTGTAAAGAGAAACTGGAAGCTTTTTAAAGCAACTGAATGAGGCAGTGTCCTATTACTGGGTTGCTGTAAGTTTTTCATGCTGTATGGCCATGTTCCAGAAGCATTCTCTCCAACAAATGCTACGTTCAGCAAATGTCAAAAGGGATCCTCTCACCTCTGCAGAAGTCTACCGTATACCATGTAGCTGTGGACAACTCTACATAGGGACCACCAAACACAGTGTTCATACCCAAATCAAGGAACATGAAAGGTACTGCAGACTAATTCAACCTGAGAAGTCAGCCACAGCAGAGCACCTGATGAACCAGCCTGGACACAGCATATTATTTGAGAACACAGAAAGACTGGGCCACTCTAACAACTATCATGTCAAGCTACACATTGAAATCCACAAGCATGTGGACAATTTCAACAGAAAGGAGGAAACCATGAAAATGAACAAAATCTGGCTACCAGCATTAAAAAAAAACACTCTAAAATCCAGACAGTACATAAAGAGGAACACTCAAAAACAGGGGAACTCCAGACAAGAAACAATCAGGGACAGCTAATCACCTCTCAACAAAGGATGGCCACAGGCAGTAAGAAGCCACATCTTGAAAACTGCTAGGCTATTAAATGCTAATCAAGGTGGCCAACTGAAACATTCACACCTAGCTCCAACAGACAAGAGTTCTTTCTCCCACCCTGGACATTCCACAGATATACAGTGTTCCCTCACTTATTGCAGGTGTTATGTTCCAGGACCACCCGCAAAAAATGAAAATCCACCAAGTAAGGATGCTATATATGTATATCGAGTTTCGAGGGTGAGGCAGAAGCGAGGAGAGATTTAAAGGCACCGTGCACCTTTTTTTTGGCTAGCTATCTCTGCTTTGCTTTGCAGTCTCTCTTAATTGGCTGCCTCTCTCCCGAGGGGGAGGGTGAAACCCCCTTCCACACTCCATTGTTGCCAGGAGGCGGGATTAGAATGCCATTCTGGGCAATGGCAACCATTCATAAACTGGGAGGCAAAAACCCGCGAAACAGCAACTTCACAAAAAGCGAACCACAAAGTAGTGGGGGAATGTTGTGTAAGCCCCACTTGCCTAGGAACACTGTGTAAGCCCCACTTGCCTAGTCTGCAACAGACTTCACAACCTCTGATGATACCTGCCATAGATGCAGGCGAAACATCATGAGAAACTGCTTCTGGAACATGGCCAAAACATCTGGAAGAGAAGAGTTTGAGAAACTCTGGACACACTCTCTTTCTCTAGAAGTTTTTAGGCAGAGGCTGCATTGTCATCTACCTGGAGGGCTTTAACTGGGTATCACCGCATGGCAGAAGGGGGTTAGACTGGGTGGCCCTTGGAAGTCTTTTCCATCTCTAGGATTCTATCATAATCATTTTTGGATTCTTGTTGATTTGGGTGGGGAAAGACCCCTGGAGAAGGAAGGAAGGAAAGGAAGGAAGGAAGGAAGGAAGGAAGGAAGGAAGGAAGGAAGGAAGGAAGGAAGGATAACCTAGGATTGGCCACACCCTCTTTCTCTGGAGATGTTTAGGCAGAATCTGCAGAGCCATCTATCTGGAGGGTTTGACTGGGTATCCTTGCATGGTGAAAAGGGGTTAGACTGGGTGACCCTTGGAAGTCTCTTCCATCTCTAGGATTCTATCATAATCATTTTGGATTCTTATGGATTTTGGTGGGGAAAGAGCCCTGGAAGGAAGGAAGGAAGGAAGGAAGGAAGGAAGGAAGGAAGGAAGGAAGGAGGGAAGGAAGGGTAACCTGGGGTTGGACACACTCTCTCTTTCTCTGCAGGTTTTTAGGCAGAGGCTGCATGGCCATCTATCTGGAGGGCTTTGACTGGGTATCATCTAATGGCAGAAGGGGGTAAGACTGGATGGCCCTTGGAAGTCCCTTCCATCCATTTTTAGGCAGAGGCTGGGTGGCCATCTGTCTGGCATTGATTGGGTATCTCCGCATGGCAGAAGGGGGTTAGACTGGATGACCCTTGGAAGTCTCTTCCATCTCTAGGCTTCTATCAGAATCCGTTTGGATCTTTATGGATTTCAGTGGGGGGAAAGCCCTGGAGAAGGAAGGAAGGATGGATAACCTGGGATTTGGAAACACTCTCTTTCTCTGGAGGTTTTTAGCCAGATGCTGCATGGCCATCTATCTGGGGGGCATTGGTTGGGTATCCCCGCAGGGCAGAAGGGGGTTAGACTGGATGGCCCTTGAAAGTCTTTCCCATCTCTAGGATTCTATAGTAATCATTCTGGATTCTTATGGATTTTGGTGGGGAAAGAGTCCTGGAGAAGGAAGGAAGGAAGGAAGGATGGATAACATGGGGTTGGACACACTCTCTTTCTCTGGAGGTTTTAAGGCAGAGGCTACATGGCTATCTATCTGGAGGGCTTTGACTGGGTATCCCTGAATGTGAGAAGGGGGTTAGACTGGATGGCCCTTGAAAGTCTTTCCCATCACTAGGATTCTATAGTAATCATTCCGGATTCTTATGGATTTCGGTGGGGAAAGAGCTCTGGAGGAGGAAGGAAGGAAGGAAGGAAGGAAGGAAGGATGGATAACCTGGGGTCTGGGCGGTGCCTGGTGAGGAGCCCGCCTCCCGAGTCTCCCTTTCCTTTATATGGCCTCCCGAGCCTCCCATTCCCCCTGGCTGGCTGCTTCTCCCCTTGGCTCGCCATGCCAGGGCCAGGGCTTGGGGCGCTCTTGGCCGCTCCCCTCCTTCTGGCCTTGACCCTGGTCCTGTCCAGCCCTTGGCCCCCCTGGGACCCTCCTCCTCCTCCTCTGCAGCCCCGGAGCTTGACGCAGGAGCTGGAGCAGCGGCAGCGAGACCTGAGCACCTTGGCTGCTTCTTTGGAGGAGGAGGAGGAAGGGCAGAAGGAGGGCTGGCTGGGCTGCGCGGAGCTGCGTGGCGCCCGGGTCTTGGGCTTGGCGGGCGCAGGGATCACGAAACTGGTGCTGAGGGTGGCCCTGGGAGGGAGGGCTGGCGGCGGAGGAGAGGTGGCCCTCAAGGCCGTGCATTGGGCCGGAGGGGACGTCCAGGGCTGCGTCCGGCGCTATGGACACTTCGGAGGCTGCTACAGACTGGCCGCTGCCAAGCTGAGGAAGGAGGCGGCGTTGCTGCAGAGGCTGGACCACCCGGGCATCGTCAAGGCAAGTAGAGCAGGGAGTGCACGGGGAAGGGGCAAGAAACACAGGGCTGGAAGTGATCCTAAGGGTCATCCAGTCCAACCCCATTGCCATGCAGGAACACACAATCGAAACACACCCGACAAATGGCCATCCAGCCTCTGCTTGAGAACCTTCTGAGGAGGAGACTCTACCACACTCCCAGGCAACGTATTTTACCTCCTACCATCAGAAAGTCCAGCTTCTGCCAACCTAGCAGTTCTAAAACATGCAAATGTGAGTAGATCCCGCTCCAGCGGGATGGTAATGCCGCTACCTGCAGTTATGCCGGCCACATTACCCTGGAGGTGTCTTGGAGTTGTCATTCGTTTACAAAAGGAGATGAGCACCAACCCCCAGAGTCGGACACAACTGGACTTAATGTCAGGGGACAACCTTTACCCTTTTAACCTCATCCTAATGTCTTTTCCTTGCTCCATTGAGCCCTAGTCTCTACAGCAGGCATGGGCAAACCTTGGCCCTCCAGGTGTTTTGGACTTCAATGCTCACAATTCCTAACAGCCGGAAGCACACAAAATAACCCCCTTAAAACTGCCATGGCTCAATGCTATGGGATTCTGTGCATTGTAGTTCGGTGAAGCATCAACACTCTCAGGCAGGGAAGACTAAAGGCCTTGTAAAAATACAACTCTCTTGATCCCATAGCCATGGCAGTTAAAGTGGTGTCAGATTGGATTAATTCTACAGTATGTGTGTTTTTTTTCTTGTGTGAGCTCCCACTGTTAGCCCCAGCTTCTGCCAACCTAGCAGTTCGAAAACATGCAAATGTGAGTAGATCAATAGGTACCACTCTGGCAGGAAGGTAATGGTGATCCATGCAGTCATGCTGGCCACATGACCTTCTTTTGCCTCTTTGACCCTCCCTAATCTTCACCTAAGTCTAAGAGGAATCAAGCTCCCATCTTGCCTTTCTTTTTGTCCATTGTCCTACTCTTCTCTCACTACTAAAATTGACAATTTATTGGAATTTATGGCTGACAGTCTTGCAGAGTCCAGTTGATTTCTGCAGTTTGGGGAAAAGGTGCCTTTTGGATTCCAAATCCCAGAATTGCCTGCTCAGTGCTCATGCAAGTTGTAACTCCTCAAAATATCTTTTCTCTGCTGCAACACTTTTAACACATGTTGTAGTTGTTGTGGTTCATTTCTGATGTAAGATCACTCTCAGTGGGTTTCCATGGCTAAGCAAGGATTCAGAGCTTGGTTTGCCAGAGTCCAACACTCAAACCACTTGAAGTGCACTCAAACCACTTGAAGGGTTTTAGTAACAAGCATCCAACCAATCATTAACCAATGGCGAATCAACTGAAAATCTATGAGATGCTTCCTCATACTGATTAGTTTTGCAATAGTTGACACCGCAAACAAGGGGTACAATGAGAATGGATGGCTTTGCTAATACTTCTTCACACAGTGCATAGGTCACACGGAATTTGTGCTAAAAGGGGCAATGACATCAGTCAGTTTATTTGGCTTTAGGTGGGAACCAGGACTTTGAAAATAATTAATTTTGGACCACAACTCCCAGAATTCTCCAGTTAGCACGGCCATCAGGGAATAGTGTCCTTCAGAATATTAGATGCTATGGAACTACACAAACTGGATATTTCTTTGCTTTATATGTCAAGCAGTCAAAGCACCCAACCGTCTCACATGAGTGATGGGATCTGGGGGGCCTTCCACACAGCTGAATAAAATCCCACATTTTCTGCTTTGGAATATATGGCAGTATGGACTCAGATAATCCAGTTCAAAGCAGATATTGTGGGATTTTCTGCCTTGACGTTCTGGGTTATATGCTGTGTGGAATGCCCTGGGATTACTCAGAAGGGTTAGAACTACAGTTTCTATAAACCCTTAGCATTGGCCATGCTAGGTGGGACTTCCAGGAAGAATTTTCTGATGGTAAGAGCTGTTTGACAGTGGGATACGTTGCCTCATAGTTTGATAGAATCTCCTTCTCTGGAGGTTTTAAAGCAGAAACTGGATGCTCATCTGTTGGAATTGCTTTGATTGTGTATTCCTGCATGGCAAAATGGGGCCCTTGGGGTCTCTTCCAACTCTATAGTTCTGTTTTGAAGGTGAAAGGCAGAAAATCTTCAGGCTCCACTTTCCTTAATCTGATCCCCTCATGAAATGATCCCATGGTGCTTGTCTCATGTTGTTAAAACATGCCCTGTGATATCTTGTTGCTAACAAGTTGACTCAGACCTAGGACGATACTATCCTAGGGTTTTCTGGGCTAGATTTTTTTCAGATGAGGTTTGGATCGTCTTCATCTAAGCTTAAGAGAATGCAGCTTGCCCAACATCACCAGTCAGTTTCCAAGGCTGACTGGGGATTCAGATCTTGGTCTTATTGACTCCTAGTTAAACACTCAAATCAGGCTGATGAATCATGCTGGGATACTGCCTCTCCCCTAAAACCTTTACATATTTGCATAAAAGAAAGAATGAAGGGTGTCTGGCAAAGTTAACAACTGTGTTTGAGTGGTTTTCAGGCTTGAATAAAGTAGGAAATGACAGATATCAAATGCAGTTAGATAAGCAATGCCTTTGTATCTACAGTTTGTAAACTAAACCAGAACTCTCTTTTTCTTGGCTTACTTACTGTTAATGACCTGAGAGAAGGAGCAGGGGAGGGTGCGGAGATAAAATTGCAGAAAGTAGATTTATGTATCTTTGGAAGGAAAATTACTTTTGGCTAGGTTAATGGTGAACACACATCAATGGGAATGCATTGTTCTCCCCGGGCGGTGTAAGCATTCAACTTCACAATTTAGACTAATTAACTTTATATCTAGTATCAACATGTTCAGAATTTATCATGTGGGAATATTATTATTGTATCCCATTCCCACAGGTCCGCTTGGTTTTGCATTTCTGTGTGCGTAAATTTTGATTCACCATCTTGTCTCCCACAACATGAATGCACAATAGACTTTACTTTAACTTTTAGAAAATTAATTTCTCATATTTGCATCTGTATTGTATAGAAAAACCTGCTCACGGGCTTCTATACCAAGAGACTGCAGAACACACTACCTTCAGGGCATTACTCTTGACACAACTGCCATGTTGGAATACTATTGCAGGATCCACAATGAAGAACCATTTAGTGAGAAAACTATTCAGGAAGTACAGAGCATTTTGTTCTTCATCTCTGAAGCCAAGAAAGAACAGAAGTTGGCATAGGCAGGAGCAGTCAGAAGATGTGAAGGCTGCTAAGACAGTTGAGCAAGGATCCCTCACAAACTAATACTCATGCAACATTATTTATTTATTTATTGTTTATTTACTTTATTTGTATACCGCTGTTCTCAGCCCTTAGGCAACTCAAAGTGGTTAACAACAGAACAGCAAAAATACAGTACACGGTAAAAAACAGTAACATCATAACACCTAAACAATCCTATATAATTAACAACAATAGCCATTCACTGGCGTCTCATCACTGAAAAAATGATCCAGATCCGTCATCCATTGTTCCATTCCTATGTTCATTACACTCATTGCACTAAATATTCGAACGCCTGCTCGAACAACCATAAAGGTAGATCAGATAGCGCATCAACTTCTGAAGAATGGGGAACCCAACCTTGCAACCAAAGTAGAAAGGAAACCAATAGTCAGACAACCAGATAATGAGAATAACAATCTTCATGAACCTTTTACATCTACTGAATTGGACATGACTCTCAATAAATGTAAAAATGGCAAAGCAGCTGGCCTGGATCGTCTAAGGATGGAACAAATTAAGAACTTTGATCCTAAAGCAAGGTGCTGGCTGCTGAAACTGATGAACAACTGCATTGCATCCTGTCAGATCCCCAAAATCTATAGGAAAGCAAGAGTCACAGCCATCTTCTAACCAGGCAAAGACCATAATGACCCAAAAAAGCTATAGACCAATCTCCTTGTTATGACATCTTTACACAGTTCTGGAGAGACTTATTTTGCATAGAATTATGGGAAAAAATAGATCCATGTATGATTCCACAGCAAGCTGGCTTCAGGAAAAGCAAAAGCTGTACATTACAAGTGTTGAACCTGACTCAGCAGATTACAGGAGTTGTCTTCATAGACCTGTCAGCAGCTTATGACACTGTAAATCATCACCTTCTCCTGAGAAAAACATAATATCACAAAGGACTATCACCTCACTCACTTCATAGGAAATCTGAAATCATCTGTATTTATATGGTAACCAGACTGTTATGTTTCTCTCTCTCTCATAACAGCTGCTAGGTCAGTGCTCTGACATTAGCCTCAGTGGTCCTGAAATGAAAGTGGTCACCATGCTGGAGCTGGGAAATCCTTTGGAGATGATTCAGCTCCTGCAAACCCCCTGGGAAGAACGATTTAAAGTAAGAAAACAAAACCAGGGGGGGAATTTTATCAGTAGCATTTCAACCCCATACCGAGTCTCTTGAAAGGTCTCTAGAGGAGGGCAAGGCAAATGGGATCTTGAACTTTTCACTGCTTGGCTTCTTTTTTGGGGAAAGGGTTTTTGCATCAGCTACTTTTGATGGATCTGAAATGGTATCAGCATTTGCAGGTTTGTTTAAGACAAGCACTGTTGTTGTTGTGAGCCTTCAATACTTTCTGACTTATGATGACCTTAAAGTGAACCTACCACATGAACTTTTGGGACTGAGAGTTTGTGAGATGCCAAGAGTCACCCAGTTGGTTTTCATAGCTAAGCAGGAATTTGAGCCCTGGCCTCCCGCATTATAGTCCAACATTCAAACCACTATTCCATGTTCGCTTTTGACAAAAGCAGTAGTTGTAGAAAACTTGGATGTGGGCAAAAGATTAGGTGCAAAACATGTCAACAGGTTGTTATTTGCAGAGGGTTCATTCTTCTCTGAATAAGAGCATATAGTGTTTCTGCTGAATCCACTTAACGGGGCCAATTGGTTAATTCCAACTAAAGTTCACTCAATGATTCAGTCACTGAAGAATGAGTCAACATATAGTTTTTGTATTTCATGTTAAAAGCATTTGGGTTGGAAAGATTAGCTGTTTACAAGAACTGTTGCCCAGGGAACACCCAACTGCATTTACTCAGTCATCGAGGAGGCTCTTTCCATGTCCCCTAACATAGTTAAATAGCAATGATTCAGGACTCCTGCTTTTTGAAACAATGATATCAGGAGCCAAACCACATTGACTATAGCTAAATGCCTTTTCATGTTTGCGCAAAAGAAGACAGAGATAGGAAATGTAGCCAGCATACATGTTGGCTATGAGATTCTGAGCATCTTTCAGACCAAGACATGTACTTTTCCAAGCTTGGCTTCATGGCACTTTACAGGTTCAAAATGAGCCCTTTGAATCAATCCAGGGAGCAAACAGAGCAGATATTCCCACCTATCAACATAAGATCCACAGCAGTATTTTTGCTTGGTTATTGTTGTGTGCCTTCACACTGATTCTGACTTATGACAACCCCAAAGCAACTCGATCATGAGTTTTCTTGGCAAGATTTGTCCAGAAGGTATTTACATTTATCTTCTGAGTCTGACTGGTTGAAATTTCTGGATTATTTTTAAAAGGCAGTTCAAATAGAGCAGGGATGGACAACTGGTAGAGCGAAGGGGCTACATTTGCCTTGTAGGATAGCTTGGGGGGGGGGGGAGAAAAGTCAACCTTTCCCCCCAGATGCTGACTAGAAAGCAACAGGACATTTTCACCTATCAAGACACATTTTTGACAACAGGAAGCAAGCAGAAGAATTTTGCAAATATTTTTGACCTTAGGGGCAGGTCCTGGGAGATCACAAAAGTGGCTATGGGGCTTTATATAGCCCCAAACCAACAGTTTACCTACACCATGTTGGGGCAATCCATGTAAGATGGCAGATAAGAGATATTGATAGACAAGCTAAAACATGGGCTCCTTCCACACAGTTGAATAAAATCCCACATTTTCTGCTTTGACCTGGAATATATGGTAGTGTGGATTCAGATAACCCAGGTCAAAGCAGATATTGTGGGATTTTCTGCCTTGATATTCTGAGTTGCAGTATATGGCTGTATGGAAGGGCCCTTAGTGACTTGTATAAGTCAAATCCAAGAGTAAATGTGAGGTAATTCTAGGTAACCAAGACCCCTTCTACACTGCCATATAATCCAGATTATCAAAGAAGATAATCCACACTATCTGCTTTGAACTGGATTATATGAGTCTACATAATGTTTTAATGAGGATTTATTGACATGTTTTATTGCTGTCGTTATGATTTTATTGATGTTAATGTTTTTAAATTGTACTTGTGTTTTTGTGGAATTGAATTTTGCCTTGTAAACCATCTCGAGTTGCCAGAAGGCTGAGAGGGGCGGTATACAAATACAGTAAATAAATACATACACTGCCATATAATCCAGTTCAAAGCAGATAATCTAGATTTTGTATGGCAGTGTAGAAGGGGCCTAAGTGACTTGTTGCAGGCCTTTCTTCTTCTGCATTTTAATCAGAATTGAAAATGACAGCTTCATTTCTTGGTGTTTGTTTTTTTTCTTCAAAAAAGGAGAAAGAGGAATCTTATCCAGAAAGGCCATGTTAGTAGGGGATTCGGTGTGTTACAATCCAAAAAAAGTGAAAATTCCAAACTCTGGATGATGAAGTTTCTCCCAGGTTTCCATCGCAACCAACCACATTATTTCCCCACTTATTCAAATGCTGCAGACTGATCTGTTTTTATTGCATCTATTTCAGATTTGCTTGGATCTGATAGAACTTCTTTATTACATGGCAAATTCTCCTCTCGGTTCCATTGCCCTTCTGGATTTCCAGCCCAGGCAGTTTGTTCTGGTGAATGGGAGCCTGAAAGTTACAGACTTGGACGATGTGACCACCACAGAACTGCCATGCCAGGTGGATGAGGACTGTATGCTCGAATTCCCCACAAAAAACTTCTCTCTCCAATGCACTGTGCAGGGGAAGTGCGAAGGTATTAACGAAAAAAGAAATCTCTTCAATGCGTACAGGTGAGTTTATTTATTTATTTTATTTATTTACTGTACTTGTATACCGCTGTTTCTCAGCCTAGCTGGCGACTCAACGCGGTTTACAACAAAATACAAAATACAATAGTCAGCAGTATACAGTTGAGTCTTTATTATGTATTCTTCCAGAATGGCTAACAAATATTAAACATCAAGTGGTTCCTGTCATCAGTTCCCATTCTAAGAGATATAATATGGGGAGGACAATTGACTAAACTTGGGCATTAAGGGGTTTTGATTATAAAGTTCGGCAAACAATATGCTCAGTTCAGCAGATTGTGCATTCAGTAGTCATATGAGGCGAAGTCATAGGGAAGAGGGAGCAAGCTTGTTTTCTGCTGCCCTGGAGACTAGGACGTGGAAAAATGGCTTCAAACTACAGGAACGGAAATTCTACCTGAACATTAAGAAGAACTTCCTGACTGTCAGAGCTGTTCAGCAGTGGAACTCTCTGCCGCGGAGTGTGGTGGAGGCTCCTTATTTGGAGGCTTTTAAACAGAGGCTGGATGGCCATCTGTTGGGGGTGTTTTGAATACAATTTTTCTGCTTCTTGGCAGGGGGTTGGACTGGATGGCCCACAAGGTCTCTCCAAACTCTATGGTTCTATGATTCTATAAAGCTGAATTTAAGTACTGTCTGTCAGTCATCCACATTCACTGGAGTTAGGAGTACAGGACCCCTATGAGAGTGGGAAAAACTGCAAAAAGGAAAACTCTTTTTTAAACTTGATGATACCATTCTAGAAATCTCTGGGTCCTCCAGCACAACTCTATGAACATCCACCAAAAATTACCACACTGGAGGACCTAAAGATTCCAAAAGAGATGTTATTTCTAGGAGTTTCTACGTCTTTCAGCAGGACTGTGTGGCCAACTTCCACTGGAGGTTGAGCATAGAGTAGAGACCTAGAGATTCTAGAGAGAGTATTTCAACAAAATCTGAAAAACTTGCACTGGCAAATACGGAAATTTGACTGTCCAGTGAAAAGAGTTGATTCTTTTGCTCTCATCTAAATTATATAATTATAACCATTCATACAAAGGTGGGGAAAGTCCGAATGGAGTCTGAAATACACTGTCTCCCTATGTGAGTTTCATTGCAGAAGGAGAAAGGGAAAACTGACATCCATGAGATACACACACACACACAGTGCCCATGTGTGTGTGTGTGTGTGTATAACAATAGTATCCAATATATTTATATATATCCAATATATATAAATAATACAATAGTATCCAGAAGTTCTTGTGGGTTTTTTCGGGCTATATGGCCATGTTCTAGAGGCATTTCTCCTGACGTTTCGCCTGCATCTATGGCAAGCTTCCTTAGAGGTCTGGCAAGCTTCCTCAGAGTATCCAGAAGGTTTAACAATACATCATGATACATACACCTCTGTGTGTGTGTGTGTGTGTATATGTGTGTGTGTGTATAGAGAGAGATATATTTATCGTATCAGAAGCAAACTGAGGGTAGAGTTGTAATGCTTAAAAAAAAAACAAAGTTTAAGAACTTGGCATTATACTAAATGTCCTTTGACCAGTAGCTGGCCACTTGACGTGCCTCTGGTGTCACTGTGGGAAGGTCCTCCATTGTAAATGTGGCAGGGCTCTGACTACATTGTAATAGGTGGCTTGTGGTTTGCTCTTCTCCACACTCACATGTGGTGGACTCCACTTTGTGGCCCTATTTCATCTCGTGGTGCCAGAGCGCAGTCTGTTCAGCGCTTTCCAAATCACCCAGTCTTTTAGCCTGCCACTTTTGGACTCTCACTTGCTGTGGTGTTGTTCCTGTGAGTATCACTGTTGATCAAATTTCTTGATTTAAGGTGAGAGAGAGAGAGAGAGAGGCGTAAGTATTCTGATGTTAAACCTTCTGGATGCTATTGTATTATTTAGTAACCTTAAAATGTTGCAAAAAACCTACAATGGAAAATCTGCTTTCAGAGTAAGAGAAGATTAAAAGATTGGATAGATTGGTTAAAACTGAATCAGGGATTAAATTTGGCCTTCATGCTGCAGATCACTCAACCGTGATATGTCTTTTTAAAGGCCAATTTGATTCTGCAAGGGAAACGTTATCTTAGTTTTAGACCAGATCAATTTATTTATTTATTTACTGCATTTGTAGACCGCCGTTCTCAGCCCTAGGGCGACTCAAAACTATGACGGATGTAGAAGTACCATAATTAAATTTAGGAATATTACAGTATTTGCTTTCAAGTTGTACTTGAGTCCAGAAAAATCATTGATGCTGTGTCTAAGGGTTTTAAAGCAAATTGCATGTTTTTGTAGGTATTTCTTCACATACCTCTTACCACATACTGCACCCCTAGCTTTGCAACCCATTCTGAAGGACGTCTTGAATGCCACAGGTATTTAATATAAAATATTAAGAGATAGTTATTTAAATAAGTGCTGTCTCAAAGCTTCTTTCTCTTTAAAATATCTCTGACTTCATCCTTTTCTGTAGGTGATTTGCGATATGGAGTCAATGAAACTCTGAGAGCCTTTCAGAAAGTTTTGCATTTGTACAAGTCTGGTCTTTATCTTCAGAGGAAAACATCTAATTTAAGAGGTACAGATTTCATATGATATTTTTAAAACTTTTCATTATTTAATCCCAGCAAAGAATACCAAAATTTATAACATATGGAGCGGGGAAAGTGCTAGATGTGGCCCTAGATCTCCCCCTTTTAACTTTTTTAAAGGCAAATCGAACTGAACATGCAGTCCTCTTAGCAGGATGTGTTCAGAGGGTTGTGTAAACTCTAATCCAAATAACCAATTGCTGGGATATTAGGCAAAGAAACAAGAAAAGCACAATTAAATTCATTTCCTCTTCCCTCAATTACGATCTGCTAAAAAATCTGGGTTCCTCTTTTGCATATATAATTGTTTGTCTTCTCCTCCTCCTTCTCTTGCTCCTAAGAATACATTGCCTTAAAGGGATTCCACACTACAGACACAGAAGACTATAAGTGTTGGCCATCGAACAGCCATTTGGGATGCATGCTCTCTGTTCACAATGCAGAGGAAGCTGCCACCATTTGCAATTCCCATCCACAGTGTCAACACTTTACTATCACTCCGCAGAGGACATGGACAGGTAAGAACAAGTAGCCCAGAAAGAAACATACAGTTAACAAACATTGACAGTCTTGAAATTTTTGAGAAATCCCTTTAGTTTGTACTAGTATTGAATCTGGTAAGGTAGCACTTACTTCTGTTCTCCCCAAATGAATGTACAACAGAGCTTGTTTTGCTTCACTCTGTATTCTTCATTAAAGGGAGTATCTTAGAAGATTGTGGTCTCTTTCCATTTGTTATCATTTGGGGAAGATTTGTTTTGCATCATTACATAGCTTCTCTCTCTCCATCAATCAAAGAAATCCAAGTAATAAAATCCCTCTGATTTTTGGAGATGACAGGTCTGGAAGCTGGGCTTATAATTACAGCAGTGTTTATTATATTCTTCTATCAGCCTTGTACATCTCCAAACAACAGGTTTCGCAAATGCCCTTTAATTAGCCCTGATTACAGACTTTCACTGAAAGTAGCTGGTGTGCATTTTTACCAAAAAATACACCATCAGTTGCCCCATTTTTGCTGACACATTGACAACCTTCTCAGCTATTACTCTTAACATAGGATACAGAATAAAGCTAATAAGTCACTCATGTTTAGCTTGGACTAAGTCCAGTGCTTTTCTGAAAATCAGGGATATATCCAGCCAGACCATTGGTCCATGTGGTTTAGTATTATCATTTCTGACTGGTTGTCATTCTCAGTGGCTTCAGGCAGGTTTCATTCCTGGAGATCTGAGTCTGTACTAGTTGTTTTCCATCCCACTAGAGCACATACCTCACTCACAAAGGGTTCCAGTACCATTGTTACCATTGTCAGTAAAAGCAGGGCATTTTGTTTCCATGTCAGGAGCAACTTAAGGAACTGCAAGTTGCTTTTGGTGTGAGAGAATTGGCCATCTGCAAGGACATTACCCAAGGGACACCCAGATATTTTATGTTTTACCATCATTGTGGGAGACTTCTCTCATGTCCCCACATGGGGAGCTGGAGCTGACAGAGGGAGCTCATCCTCACTCTCCCCAGATATGAGCCTCCGACCTGTCAGTCTCCAGTCCTGCTGGCACAAGGGTTTAACCCACTGCACCAGCGGGGGCTCCTACATATCCCATAATCCCTTGCCATGCAGCATAAAGATTCTAGTAGTTCTATCAAACATCTAGAGGAGGAAAGGCTCTCCACCCCTAACTTGAAAGCATCTCAGATGAGTGGAAAAGACCTCCACTGGTAACCAATGCCAGTTGGGAGAAAACTGAGCTAGGTGGATTATTTTTCTGAACTGTATGGGAAAGATAGACCTTGGAGAAGGTCCTCTTTTGGACTGTAATTGCCAGCCCTGAATCTTAAAAGCTGTTCTCTAAAAATGTAAATTATCCAAGTTCTGGTTGCTGGGGGACTTGGCTATAGAACCTCATAGTCAGGACTTGTTTGGTTTGCAATATTACTCATGTCTTAATTTAATTTCTGTCTGTATTAAAAATATCTTCGTAGACAGTCTTACTGATCTCATTTTTTCTCTTTCTCACCCATCCAAAATATGCTCTCTTCCAGGACGTCCACTTGCTTTGTTTCAAAGCAACCTGTCTGACCTAATTCCTGGGGGTCCCATGGTGGTTTATGTTAAACGATCTACAGCCTCAAAGAGAAGTTTCTCTCAGGAAGCATGAAAGCACCATTTAATGGAGGAATCAAATCAAGGAATAATCCATCAGGACTAATTTCATCCCCTTACACTAAAAAGGATGGCACATTTTATTTCTGCTGAGGCATGTATTCCCCTGCCAGCTTTGGATGAGTCAAAAGGAGCCATTTTGATGAGAAGTGCAGATTTTGTGTGTCAGGTGCCACCTAATCTGGAACTACCTTGCCAAACTGTGATTACATAATCAGTTTTGGCAGACAAAAGATTCATGATAGCTGTACGGATTGTTCTTTGCTGCATTACAAAAGCATTTTACAAAACCAAGGAATGGGGATTTCAGTTGGGGTGGTTATCTGTTAATGCCCACTCTAGATTGGTACCTCAGTCAATGCAGTGGTTCTCAACATGTGGGTACCCAGATGTTTTGGCCTTCAACTCCCATAAATCTTAACAGCTCGTAATTCTGGGAGTTGTAGGCCAAAACACCTCAGAACCCACAGGTTGAGAATCCCTGATCTAATGAACTACGTATGTATGGTGTTGTTGTTGTTCATTCGTTTAGTCATCTCCGACTCTTCGTGACCTCATGGACCAGCCCACGCCAAAGCTCCCTGTCGGCTGTCACCACCCCCAACTCCTTCAAGGTCCATCTTCCGACCTGGGAGTCCCATCTTCCAATGGCATACCGACATATTTCTGGTTGTACTGGTCCATTTAGTTTTCTTGGCAAGGATACTGGGGTGGTTTGCCATTGCCTTCCCCAGGGATCACACTTGGTCTGACCTCTCTGCCACGACCGTCCCGACTTGGGTGACCCTTCACGGTTTCGCTCATGACATCATTGAGATGCTCAAGCTCCAGCGCCACGACAAGGTGGTGATCCTTTGCTGGAGTATGTATGGTAGGTCCACTTATTATGTAAACTCATTGAACCTAGTTTCATTTAAATTCAAAGAGTTTTGAATACCATATAATTTTTCTGGAGAACATGACGATTCCTAGAGAAGTGTTCCCTTTAGGTCTCCAGCACAAGTCTACGGTCAACCTCCACCAGAAGTCCCACCAGAGTTGACTGTAGAATCAAACTGAAGGCCTAGAGCAGTGGTTCTCAACCTGGGGTCCCCAGATGTTTTTGGCCTACAACTCCCAGAAATCCCAGCCAGTTTACCGGCTGTTAGGATTTCTGGGAGTTGAAGGCCAAAAACATCTGGCGACCCCAAGTTGAGAACCACTGGCCTAGAGTGAGCACTTCTTAGTATTTTCTAGGTTCTTTGGAGTCATTCTATGGTATGCGTTAGCCAGAAGCCCCGATTTCAATTAGGGTTCCAGATTATGTGAAAATTTTATTAAGCGAAGTGTCCCAGAATAAAGCCCTCTTAATGTCCCTCTTTCTAGGATCTGTGGGGCTATCTATAATTTAATATGGTAAAACAATCACATTTTAAGTCTCAGTATATATATTTCACAGCAAAACAACCAACTGAGCAATAAGTTTGACATGTAAGCATCATCCCCAAAGTTCATTGGATCCAATGCAGGTCATGATGGCAGAACTCTTCTGCCTCTGCTGCTTAGCTGTATTGCAACTTTTGGATAAAAACTTAGATCCATAAATTAAAAAAAAAACAAATTTATTGCAAAGGCTTAACAGTAATCTCTCTATAAAAATTTTACACTTTTGCCCCCTCCTAAATGAACAGTAAAAAAAAACTAATCTTTTTCAAAAGGGAAAGGGACTAATCCATATCCCTGACAATGGACGCTCTTTTCCTTTTCAGATCTTCTTCTTTTCTGATCTCAATATAAACAGAGACTTCACCCTCTCAAAGGTTCTTAACAGAAACTGAAAATGTCTCTCTTCCCAAATACTTACCTGCTATCCAACATCTTTCACAGGAACACACAGATCCAGACTACAATTCTCCACACATTTCAACCATTTCCCAGTCATTGGGGTCAATTTAGCTGCAATTGTCATTTAAACAAATGTGATCAGAATACTCTACCATTAACTATTTAATTTTTCTCACCTAATATTGCTATATATGAGCCATCAGTTTTGTAATACATTCAAATAAAGACTTGGGAGTAGGGTGGTGGAAGACCCAGAAGTTTTTTGGGGGGTGCGATAGATGTCTTGTTTCAATTGATAGTTTTGGTTTGACATGTTGCTTTTCTGAAATTTTAATATCAACCTTGGAGGTTTTTCAGTGTTTCTTTCAATGAAAGGAATCCTACTGAGCAAAATGTTCAAACTATTTATGTGTATAAAGGATGAATTTTCAATCAGATAAAAGAGTTGCTGTCAATTATTTATTTGATACACATAGATACTTGTGTGTGTATGTGTGTATGCCTAAAAGAATGCTCTTGACTAAAATCCCAACCTTACAATTTTCTGGTTGATTTTTTTTGGTGATGTGTCATGGAATATTCTGTCTACTTTAAGAGCTGCGCCATTTGTAACCTCAATCCTGAAATGTATATATTTTAATATAAAACTCTTCAGAAAGGGTGACCCTTTTTTTCAACCTCCAGCACCCCCCCCTTTCCACTTTTCTTCCTGCTGCTTTCTAAGTTATTGTTAAAATAGCTGAGTTGTAAACATTTCTGCTGATGTTATGTAAGGCGGAAAGCAAGGAGGAGCTGAGGAGCCTTCTAAGCAAGGTGAAAGAAGAAAGTGCAAAAGCTGGGTTACAGTTAAACATAAAAACCCCAAGATTATGGCAACCAGAGTGATTGATAACTGGCAAATAGAGGGAGAAAATGTGGAGGCAGTGACAAACTTTGTATTTGTAGACACAAAGATTACTGCAGACACAGACTGCAGCCAGGAAATCAGAAGACGTTTACTTCCCGACTGCTCACTGGAGGGAAGGATATTAGAGGCAGAGATGAAGTACTTTGGCCACATAATGAGAAGACAGGAAAGCTTGGAAAAGACAATGATGCTGGGGGAAAAGGAAGGAAAAAGGAAGAGGGGCTGACCAAGGTCAAGATGGATGGGTGGTATCCTTGAAGTGACTAGCTTGACCTTGAAGGAGCTGGGGGTGGTGACAGCCAACAGGGACATCTGGCGTGGGCTGGTCTATAAGCTCACAAAGAGCTGGAAGCAACTGAATGAGTAAACAACAATGTAAGACTTGGTCTAGGGATAGCCCAATGAGTTAATGTCTAATGAAAGCCAATAACATAAAGATGTTTCAACCAGACCTTTGCTTCTGAAATGTGCACTACTCCAATGATCTCAGACACATTAGCATGAACACGGCAAGATTCAGTATTCTCATGAATGTTATCCTTATTTTAATGTATAGTATCCATATTCAGCAAAGGCATTGTTTAAAGATTTATTATGGTTATTGGGCTAGAAGTCCTTCTTTTCAATGGGATTTGCCATTATTCACATTTTTCCATACCCACATGAAGTCTAGGAACATGTTTCCCATGGATATGGGGGTCTAACTATATAATGGCCCTGTACTATTGTGGCCAAATTGGTTCTGTGAGTGGCAGTAATTTAGAAAAAGGAACTTCCAGAGATCTGCACTAGGGCAAAACAACCCTTTCAGGAGGCAGATGTTGAGGGCAGTGGGGGAAACAGTTCTGAGTGTGCCTTGTGGCTTTCCGTGTGCTTCCAAAGCAAACCAGGGATCAGTTCAAAATAAGATTCAGATGTTAATCTTATTGATGGAAACATGGTGGAAGAGGCCTTATTTTGCTCTTCACCACCAACTGCCTTGGCCTAGGGAAACATTGTCTTGCTATCTGTGGTAAGAAAGGAATCCCATGAAGGTTATCTGTAGGCAGGGATAAAGCTTTCAACAATACTTTGTTTGGAGAGAATAATCTGGACTGTTAAAACCTCATTAACCCACAGCCAGACTCTTCGCCTTTTCAATTGTGGTGCCAGTGTCCTCTTCAAATGCAAAGGCAAACAATTGATCTCAGAAGGAGAAGCCATTAATGAAGATACCCTATTTAGCACAACAAGAAAGCTCCCCTAATGGCAAAGCATTTCTTAAAACTGTGACTTCCTTATCCTAATTTGTGAGAGACACTGCTGTTTAATAAATAGTAAAAGATACTTTTTTTTCAAAATAGTGGACATGTCAAACTCCATCTTATTTCTGCCCTGCTATTATCCCATTGAATAGTGGTTTGGGGCAGTGTTATATTAACTACCTCAGAAAAGTAAGTGATAATCTATTCTCCCAAACTTGGAAAGTAAAATAAGACACGCAAAAGAAGAAATGATCACAAGATGGGAGATCAGTTCCTAATTTATCTATCAAATTGAAGGGTTGGAATAGTAACAGTTCTGGTTGCTAGATTTAGCATGGGAATTCCTGGATTGTGGGATATACTACAATGGACTACATTAATCGATAAAATTAAAAATTGTAAAAATTCTAAACCACACTCATACCTGTGGGTCATTTGGTTTCTTCAAACATGAACTAAAGTGTCGAATAACAATGGTTGACGTTATCACATGTCCATAGTACATTACTTCAGGTCAAAGGCTCATGTAAATAGCCATGTTTTTAGGCTCAAATGGAAGGTTTGGAGATTTGGGGCGAATCTAATATTTCTAGGGAAGGCATTCCAGAGCCTAGAAGCCACCACTGAGAAGGCCCTCTCTCTTGTCCCCATCAACTGCACCTGTTACAGTGGTGGGACTGAGAGAAGGGCCTCCCCAGCAGATCTCAAGGCTGCACCAGTTCATAGAAGGAGATACGGTCTCAAAGATAGGGCTTTATGGGTAACAACCTGCACTTTTCATGGGTTCTATAAAATTGGTTCATATACTGATAAGGCTCCAATATAGCAGAGGTTGGTTTTATTACATAGCAAACACAGTGACAAGTATCAGCAAGAGCTTCATAGATAAGTTTTAAACAACACATAATAGTCATCGTAGTAAATCCTCTTCACTTATACTGAAAGGTTGGTCTTAAATAGAGCCTACACCACACAAATATATACAGTATATTCTGGCATATAAGACTACTTTTTAACCCAAGAAAATCTTCTCAAAAGTCAGGGGTCGTCTTATACACGGGTGTAGTCTTATGCATGGGAGTCGTCTTAACTCTATATTTTAACTGGAAAAGTTGGGGGTCGTCTTATACGCCCAGTCGTCTTATATGCCGGAATATACGGTATGTGTGCTTCCTCCTCCAACCCTGTGTTCCTCCCCTCTTGTTTTCTACCATCCCTTCCTCCCTTCTTCCTTCCTTTCTGCATTACAATGCTTATGCTCTAAAAAAAAAAAAAACCCTGCAAGAAAATCAGTGAAAACATTGTAATGAAGGGCATGTGATGTTTGGGGTATGTGGTTCAATTGTGGAACCTAATCCAGCTGTTGAAAATTACTGGTACAGGGAATGTGGCTGTTTCTCGTATATCATCAATGTAGCTAGTGGCAGTGGTTTATCTTTCAGGTGACCTTCTCTATTCGATCCAAGCAGACATAACTGCTGGAGTCTATCTCTGTGCTATCAAGTTTCAGTCTTTTCCCCATAGCCAC